GAGAGTGAGTAATCTCCTGTTCACATCCGAAGAATACTTTCCATTATATGAGACCATATTTTGCCCGTAAAGGTTTCAGGTTTTGAGTGGCGTGGATTCAATCAAGATACCTTTTAAAATCACAACCTAGTAACGCCACAAAAAAACAGTGGGACACGTTTGCTGCGTTTACATGCAAAGACTGCAAGTTGCAGACTTGAGCTCTGAGTTTTGAGCGATTCCTTTCCATCAAGAAAAAGATGTTTATTCATCAAAATACAAGAGTCCTTGAATTTGTCACGGATGACTTTGATGTCTGTGAGCTTCCACAGTAGCATCCTCCAATTAAATGAGTCACAGCTAGAGGAGCTAGGTGCTTCGGGTTTTGGGATATAACACTGCATGCATACATTTTAACTCTATCAGAGCAAATCATTGAGGGAGTCATGTTTTCATATCATCACACATCGCGCCAGTATTAATTCTCGAGCATCGTTGTGGATGGACGGGTCAACATCAGAAGTTTACTCTGGGAGGTTTGTTTCCTGTTTACTTCGGTTCCCAGAAAACGATTGTTACCTGACTCCAAACCTCGAGGCCCCGATCAGATGGACCAGGTTTTAGCAGCCTGTGGCGTTCTGGAGACGTTTTTACGTTAATTTGCGATGCATTTTGCTACTCAATGCCCTCTGCTTTTCTCTTCTCTTTCCTGCAGTCATTAGCGGTTCTCTTTGTAGTGACTTTTGCTGGATATCCAGAGCGATACAGGACGACCTTCTCGACTGCAGTTAGTCCTGAACTTCAGCTCCCAATATATACAGTGTGAGATGCAGACTCGCTAAGAAATAGGTTCAAATGATAAATGTTTTTGTATTAATATATGAAAAGGGTTTTCTAAGGATACCGGTCAAAAAAGATATGCGCTGCAACACCACAGATATTATATCATTTATTATTTTATCTGCGTATGTTCTTGCTAAGCAACTAATTAAGGAGTCGTGTGATTTGCGTGAAATGATACGGTTACTCGCTGCAATCAGCTGAAGTTGGGGAGAACTGTTGTGGATGTTCTGAATGTGTGCGCACACTCGGAGCTCATTAGGTTAAGAACCTCAAGTCGACAGAAAGATTTATTTTCTCTGTTGCTGCTTCTCTTAAAATCTCCTCGTAAAGCCTAATTAATTTTTCAAAGAATGCGCCTCATCTCTACCAGTGAGCTCTGTGGCTGATGTATGGAACTGTACGTGGAGGGAGGGGCGGCAGGGATCCGTAATTTGCTTTGGTCATTTCTACTTGCTCACATATTTATAGCAGGACTGTCTGTATATTGGCCTTTTTCAGACTGGGAGGTGCTTTAAATATTAACTATCGTAACAAACCTCCATGCTTATTGTCCATTAAATCCACTAATGCACTTTGGATTTGAGTCATTGTTGAGCTGCCATGTCAGTGAAGTAGTCCCCCCCCCCCCACACCCTTCCCTTGCTTCAGGGTTTCACAGGAGACAGATGACGAGACGATGGCAATTCATCTTCATCATGCCATCAGCATCTCCATTAACATGCAGTTCTTTTCCTTACATAATGCAGCTCATCTCACTCACGAATGCAGTCAAAGGAAAAGTACAATATCCTAAGAGCTGGTTCTGTCATTCGTGGTTAACGTCATCAAGACTCAATGGAGGAGTTGATTGGAGGAAATCCGCCACACGTGTGTTTGATATGAAATTACATTTACATTATATTTAAAGTATAATTTAGAAGTAACCAATACGTAGCAGTGATGTCTATCTATGTTTTTTTCAGATGTAAAGTATAATAATACAACGTAGAATGTGCCTTCTGGCTGCTTCACTCCCTCGCAGTGCACCAGGGCTGTTCACCACCTGGACTTTGTATTTTTTTTTTTATCAATAGATGTTAGGGGGAAGCTTTTTCCGCATGTTCTGTTTTCACAGACTCAGTTTATCCTGCAGACTGTACCCCTCCAGACGAAAAATCTGCCTTTTCTATAAACTCCACCTGGAATTGATGGGAAATATTGTAATTTGGCTCCTCTTTTCTTGCTTTTCTCTTCTTGAGAAATGATTTGCCAAAAGAAATCCAGGTTCCCTAGCACCAAAGTCCCCCTGGATACTGACAGCTGCCTGAATAACAAAGGTAGCAACGTGAGTAATGAACCAAGTGAAACCTCATCATATAGAGCGACTTGGAGCAGCCCCTCTGACCGCAACCCTCCGGCCTCGCTAGCCTCGACAAATGAGCTTTCCATTTGCTATTCAGACATCGGAATGTTGTTGCAAGCACAAAGTGGCTCTGAAGAATTGCACTGCACGCAAACACGGTTTTGCAATCCTTAAGCTCGACAAATCAGCAATTCTGTTCCGAGCTTATCTGCATACACCCCTCAAATATTTTTACCGTGTGCAAAATGTGAAAACACAGTTTTATGCTCGTAGGATTGTTTGGAACTCGGTTTAAACTAAGGTGGGATGCATGTTACCATCCGGAATTTTTCTCAACTCAAACCAATCATGTATCATTAGTCACTCTTTGAAATAAGCAATATTATTTGAGATTTAACTGGAAACGTAGGGGAAGACTGTGTTTGTCCTTACTTAAGGTAACAGTATGAGAGAGGTGAAGAATTTTAACCACGGAATTGTCAAATACATTACAAACGAAACGTGACTCGCGCATCAGAAGTTGTAGGAAACTACAGAGGCGAAAATGAGAGAAAAACGTAAAACTAGGGCTGATGGTCTAATATATACAGTGTATATGTATATAAAAAGTATCGTTATTATTGTCCCTTAAAGTAAATTGTTTCTCCTATTGTTTCCTTTTCCCTCCATGAGGCTATAAAAAAAGAGTCACAGTGAAAAGAGGACATCATATCCTATTTATGGTTCATGTAAGTCCACCTTCATCTTCTGCTCCTTGAATATCTGTCTTCTCAGCAAAATTGCTCACTATTCAGGGACTGACTGATGCGGGTGAAGGACAGCAAACCAATTTCATACGAATAAATAACACGTTATTTCCACGTCATGTTCTCACATATAAGATTTTTTCTGTGTCATTATTACAAATTTTAAGCTTTTCACGTTTTATTTTTATGATACTTTTGTGTCTTTTTATGCGGTTACTACGGCGACGGCTGCCGGTTAGATTCAGGCAAATATCGTGAAGTCAGTTTTTCATGGCCAACTATTAAGCTACAGAAGGTGGTCTGCAACGCTTTGAAGACCGTCGTGGATAAACACACTGCTCAATATATTCCTTACATTTTCATTCAGGTGTTTCTGATTTAAGAAAACATCGGTGCTTTTTTACTTCAGGTCAGGGGTCACGTGTCCCGCTGGATGCTATCAAAGTGAGCAGTGCTCTGCATATCTCAAACCAAGTGCTGGAAACAATCTGGCTAAATTGCTTCACTGTTTCAAGAAAATAACCCTCAATCACACCTCAATATTGTCCTCCGAAATATCACTAGAAAGGTCACGCTTATGTTGGAAATTCAACACAGCACACCTGCCACCACATAACTTTAAGGACAGGAACTTGTGTCACTAAAATGGTTTTCCGCAACAGCTGGGTTTTTCCCCCCCAGCTACACGTCCATAAAATCCCAGTGTAAAGTTTTCAGGATGACCTTCTGTTCGCTGTCTATTGAAATTCATGTAGAGTCGGGAGTTTTGCAGCTCATTTAAAGCAACTTTCTTGCTGGATCTTTCTTATCTCGTAAACAGTCAATCTGTCAGCATGAACACACACGGGAACAAATCACGCTGCAGTGGCAGATAATCTCCCTGCAGATGATTTTGGGGATCTGATTCATTAACAGAGAGTGTTATTGCCTTTTCGACGTACAACACAAACATCGCGGAACAGGATTCAACCAGGCATTTCAATCTAGATGTTTTAGAAAAAGGCATTTTTTTGCTTCATTAATGGCACCATATAAGAATTACTTCTGACACGGATGTATTTTCTTTGTTAAAATGACACATTTGCTTCTCATGGAAGTGCAACACAAAAATGTATCCTTCACCCACGTTACTGCTTGTATTTCTGTACAATTTGAAATACCAAACGATTAGGACCTATATTTGTGATACAAAATCCATGGATAACAATCAGTTGGCTGTGTTGTGGTACATTATCTTTTCTAAGATCTTGAGTCAAATTTGCATGTTTTTGTATGGAAAAAATCCCCAGAGAATGCTTTTGATCGTTCTCATTAAAGAGGATCATCTTTTTGGAATAACATCATACAACTGTAAATACAACTGTAATACAACTGTAAATACATTTACATATTTACACACCTCTGTGATCTACTCATCACTGGTTGTTTTGCAATGAGACAGACATTTAGAAACAATGGTTCTATTTCTTTGGTGCACCACAGAAACCGACAACATTAAATAATAGTTGAGTATTAATGTACTGATGAGGAAAAGTACAAAGCATGAAAAAGATTTAAATACAGCAGCACGCTTTGAATATTATCTTGAATGGTTTTAAAGGTTTATTTCACCTTCACAGCATGTGCGTGAAATTCAATTTCAACTCTGAAACATTCTAAAAACGCAAAACAAAGAAGAAGAAACAAGGAAACGAAAAAGGGAATTAAAGGAGCACATAGGAAGTGGTAATAAAGACTCTGCTGATTAATAACAGAGAATTAGTCACTTTTTATATCACATACTGGTATCTGCTGTACAGAGGCCGGAGTTTGGTATCTGATCTTCAATCATCGATTGAAGTTGTAATTACACAAATATTAACGAGTTGTAGGTTTTAATTGATTTTTCCCTAAAAATAATTTGTAATTTATTAATTTTTTGTTTGTTTTACTTAATAGTGTGTGTTCTTATTTTATTAATTTGGTTTGTCTCTTTGAGAAAACACAATTCAGTGACTCTCTGCAGGAGGAAGGGTGTTAACTATAACAGATAACAGCAACAGGAGATCTGATTAGAAACATTTATGGCCCAAAAATGAAATTGAAAAACATAATTTTATAGAAATCCCTTTTTATTAATAATTTATGACCAGAATTCGAATACATAATAGGAACATCTAACGAACATGTTACAACCTTATAATCCATATATTTACATTTGCATCATTCAAACACAGAGTTAACAAATTATGTTATTACTGACTGACATTATTTTCTTTCAGCAGCACAGTCCAGCTTTGAATAATGTCACACAAACGTAAAATGATAAAAAATCAGTTACAGAATATATTTAGACAGTTTAGGTTTAACAAAATAAATATTGTGCCATCAATAAACGCAAGTTCCTTCAATTGATGTCACCAGTCATGTGCTCTCAGAATGAATATGTTTGCACAATTAAAATGAGCAAATGTGCTTTTTTTGACCCCGTTGCCTTGAGCGATGTTTGGTATGAAGTGTCATTCCCATCTTTGCCTCTTTATTAACCCAGTGAACTAAAACATCCCTTCCATCAAAATGTCTCCCAAATACACCACTAAATGCCCCGGGGGTTACCCATCAGTCCCTGACAAGAATCCTTTAGCAAAAAAGGCGTAGCAACATGATTTTCATCATTCAGAGTGAACGCCGGTGAGGTTCAACCTGTGCAGATTAATGTTCCGGGGGGGAAATTACGATTTCAATAATCTTCTCAGAAACGCCTCGGCAAGCTTTCAGGGTGGGTTTTAACAATGCAGCAGAAGGTGTTGCAGGAAGGCAGACAGTAACTCCGCCGGAGACACGAAGGGGAGAGCCAACACATATTGTAAGCACATTGAGCTCAAAGCAACAATTAAGGCGTTTATTAATTCATCTGTTATCCCAGGCTGCCCAGCGGAACTGATGTGGGACGGTAATCAATTTATTATCTGCATGTTAATGTCATCAGATGTCCATCAAACGTTATATAGGGCTACAAACCATGAGGTGACTTTAGCAAAGTCTATTGGGAATAAACAGAAAAATTTAATTTATAGACTACTCGTTTTCAACAGAAATACAATTCGGGAGATACGTAATCCAGCCTGAATTAAGTTTTTTTATCAACATGATGAGAAACGTTTTTTTATTTATTTATTTAATATATTTCATTAGTCACAAAAATCAATCATGTTATGTAACATGTAATCATGTTTATGTGTTTTACATATTTTTCTGACGATGTCCACTTGTACTGCAGCAACTAAATTATTTTCAACACTTGATTTTGTTACTATGAGGCACTCAAAGGACCTAGATGATGACAGGGATTGGCATAGATTGTGGAAATATTGTTGAAAAATGGGAAACTAACCGTAAACCTAAAATAATATGATTTCTTCTTGGGGACATCAGAAATAAGCTATAAAAATGCCATATCATCATATTTTAAGCTGTTATGGCTTATTTTGTTAGGAGGCAGTTTTCCAAAAACACTTCAAGCAGATTCAAAGAAACATTGGCAGTTATTTGGACTCAGTTGGTTTTCCCCTGATTTAAGCCAAATATATACAATTCATTTAGATGTGTTTGAGCCACTAACCCTTTGAGAAAACTATTAAACACTCCCCTGTGTAAAAAATCGTCTGTCTGCCGTCTGGAAGGAGGGAAAGCAGCGTAATGAATTGGTTTAAGTCTTCGTGCTAAAAACAACATCCCACTTTAACCAAGTGCCCCTGTTGCCTGAACCGAGTCACACGAGAGACTTGAGATGCTAAACCAAGTCTTCAGAATCACAGTCCAATAAAACAAAAAAGAATAATAAAATATATCTTTGCCACCAATTCACAAGAATGGCTTTCCTCCAAAACTGTATTTGGCAAAACAAATTGCAGGTTTCTCAGTGTTATTTCTTTTTGTGCCTCTCTGTAGTTAATTAGCTTGTCTATGAAGTTACTGTGTGTAATTCGTACACTCTCTCGTGGTTGTTTTGTGTACAGTATGCAGTTCATTTTGGCTATCTACAGTCGTTTGGAGTGTTTCAGTGACAATGCAAATGACTTCCAAGGGTCGGGTGGGGGGGGGTTGGGGGGCTGTGGCAGGCAGGCTTCTTTGATGATCCATCCTTTGTTAAAAAATGAATTTGCCACACAAGCATTTTACAGTTTACAACCAGAGAAGCAGATACACTCGAATGCAACAGTTGCCATGATAAAAAATCACTATGCTGAATATATTACGTCATAGTTTCCAATGACTTTGGGGATGTTGTAGCGTTTCTCGAAGCTGCTTGAGTGACAGTAACGTATATAAGCAATAAGGAACATTTAAGAGTCTTTCACATCCAGTGAAGGTGGACGATTTCCAAAGTCATGTTTCCCCTCTATGTTCAAATCCACTTTTTCAACAACTTGGTGAGATCCAACGGACGCAGCAGCAATGTTTTGATTATATAGTGGCGACACATTTGTTTATTTTTACAGAGGGAACACAAGAAAGCCAGAAAACGTTGAGTACTGCCATCCACCCACTAGGTTTCCCTTCTCCAGCTTTAAGTAGACTTTGTCCTCTTTTTCTAGATAGAGCAGAACCCCATTGGTGGCCGCCTCGCGGGTGACGTCTTTGTCGCCCGCGAAGGCGGAGATGACCGGTTTGCCATTCAACATCAAGTTCACCTGGACAACAGAAATGGCAATTAGTAATGGGGAAGACAAAGCAATGGTTTGAAGGAGTGTTCTCGCATAGTTTATGTCTCACACGTAGCATCACGATTAAATGATGTCACTAGATTAATCACAATAATTCTTAAAATCATCACAACAATCATTAATAATGATGTTGGATTATTTGTTTGTCTTTTTTTAGCTTTACAGTTAAACAAAATCAATACGTTCATATGACTTGATGATATTCAGAAAGAGTTTTTTTCTATAGGGGTTAGGGTTAAAATGAAATACTATTCACTCTGTGGAGGGTTTGTCTTCATTTTTTCTTATTTAAAACGTTACCTGTCCTCCCAATCATTTCCATACTGTCCCTAAAGAAGACATATTGTCCAACTCTAATAACATGTTTACGACCAATTCATTTGAAATAAACAGAAATAGTACCTGTATGGTTTGGCTCTGGTAAACTTTAATGACATGGAAGTTAAAACTGTAGATTCCTTTTCTTGGGGACAAAAATACTGATTCAAATGTGAAGTAGTTTCCTATATTCACAAGAACCTACGAGAGAGGGAAAAAAACACATTATGACCGTGGTTTTATATATCAATATAATTCATATTAGTCAGCACAATGGCTTTTACTTCAATGGGGCTTTAGGATTAAATGTGCCAATGCACCAGGACACCGAGGGCTACTCTGGCCCCTCAGACACAAATTGAATGCAACACTCTTACATAAACATTACATTCAAACTCACTGGATCTACCCGACTTCCACTTACAAGAAACCCAAAATGTGCTTGATGACATTTTTAATCAACAAATTCCAGTTTGGAGCTAAATCTGGATTTTTTTTTTATCCACTCATTGCACTGATACAAAGTCAGTGACTGCAAGGGATCAGAGTCTTCCTCAACACTGCCTCGCTGAAAGGATCCACCCTCCACATGTCAGTCAGCATAACATGTAGTGCTGTCCCATGAGTGGTGCAAAGAGGCTTTACGCACGTACGGCTGACATCTGCAGGATTCATAGCAAACAAAAGCACCTCTGCAGCCGCGACCTTTGACAAGTGTTGCTTTCATAGCAACAGCACGCGCAAGTCGCGCATGTCTAAGAAGTCGTTGTCATTGTGCAGTGTGTTGAGAGACAAATGTAATGTTAGGTCAGGGAACAACAGCGATATTGTTATTTTGCCCACCGCTGCATGACTAATCTTTTTGCTTCGTTTTAATTAACTTATTTAAAGGGTGGGGGTCGGGGAGGGTGGGGGGGTAGGGGGACGTTTATTGGCGCGTGCGCTCGAGGCCAACTGATGAATGCGTGAGCTCTGCTCTGCGGGAACGAACATGATCCAGTCACTTTCAAAGCCCGCGTGCGTTTGACGCGCACTTGTATACTGAATCCACCTGCCAACCACGACCAGCTTCAAACTATCCTCCGGGACGACCGCGATGACACTAATGTCAAGAAAGGGTGGGTAAAGGGTGAAGGTGTCGATCACAAAATAAAGACTTCAGTGGACCAGGTTTCGACAAGTTAAGACATTATTGTGGATGAAAAATCGTCCTAACCTGGTCGAAGTAGATTATTCTGGTTTTGTTGCTCATCTCCGATGGTTCGTGGTTGTTGCTGCGCACCGCAGAGAAAGCCACCTTGGAGTTGGCGGCGCGCACCGAGATGCCCAGCGGAGAGGACGAAGCCTTCCAGTCCGCGGTCGGGTTGGAGTCGCAGACCACGAGACATTTCCCCTCCAGGACGATGGGCTCCGTGTCATTCTGAGCTCTCGCCACCCCAGAGATCACAGTCCAGCTCAGCATCAGTATGAAGCAGTTGACCATGGTTCTATATCTCTCTCTCTCTCTCTCTCCCTCTCTCTCTTGCGTGCGCGCGCGCTTTCGCTCCCTCACCGAGACAGCTGTGGCAGCGCCGATTCGAAAAGAGAGACCGTCTCCTGCACCACACAAGTTCCCGCGTGCCCCCACCGGTCTGCCCACCTGCCGCGGACGCGTCTGACGCTGTTCAATTCTGTTACTGGATCCAGATGTGTGCCATATCCAAGTGAGACAACGACGACAACCAAAAAAAAGCAGTCCGCGTAAAGTCGGAACCGTATAATCTCACCACCAACCGGCAAACACGCTGCTGTGCGCGCCTCTCATTTTCCGGTGCACTCGGAGCTCGTGGATGAGACAAAAGTACAGGTTTGTTCCGGTCTGAGAGGGGTATCTCTCCATATATCATCCATAGCCCGCACGCTCACTCCGAGCAACGCGTCCGACAGCAGCGGTTCCCCGAAATGATGCGCTGCGTGTGCGCGCACACAGCCTTCGACTTTACGCACGCACATGTGGTGGAAGTTGTAATTAATTGACACGATGCGTAATTTGGCAAGAGCTTACATTTCTTTAATTTCCCATCACCTTCCAAACTAAGTAGCTTTAGATTAAATTGTGCTGTTTTAATTGCTGAGGAGAAAAGCAAGCACCCTTCTAACTTTCTTTGATCCAGAACCAAAGACTCGTTTTTCTAATAATGTCCTTAAGCATATGTTTCTTTTTCTTCTTGTATAGTTAGTTCACAGAGCTTCCAGGCCACTGTGGCTGTGCTCTACTGTAATGGAGAGAGCCCACAATTGGTTCCTGTGGTATTCCATGGAGGTCTGTGAACATCATGGGTCATCGTCTTAGTTGTTATGTCAATCTGCATTAAATCAACAAGTCCTCCAAAGTGTGAAGGAATATAATGTACACATGTCATATTTGAGATCAACTCGGTCACTTCAGGCTCCAAGATCAATAAGTCCATCAAATTACTTAGTTTGATCATTTAGCACCAACAGCAGCTAAAAATCAACTTTTATATTGAAATGTAAGAATGAGATGTAAGAATAATGATTGTAAAGTGTTGAACAAAACTATATAATTCAGGACTATTGTAGATATATTTAGCAGATGTCCAAATTGGTGGATTTTGGTGGAATGTCTATTTGCATCCGGGGGACAAGAGTCACACCGCCGATATTGTGCCATGACGAAGTTGCAACTTAATTTAGCAATAGCTATATCCAAAAGGTTATATCTCTATTCAAAGTGTAATACTGTCACTATCGAGAGTATTGATCCCTCAGATGTTTTTTTATACACTTGGCTAACTTAAGAGTTTGATTATGTTCAGGTTATTTTAGAAAACCGATTAAGTTACGTATAGCGTATCAAATATTGCCGCGTTAGATTCAAATTGCATTGTTGACTCTGGACACCGCAGCGCTTATCTACACACAAACAGCCACATTGGCTATAATCCCCTTGGTTGTAAATAGTATTGTTTGACACCTGGATATTAATAACATGTGCGACTCTTCCAAATCATTTGAATGGATCACTAAGTTAAGTCTTTTTAGTCAGAGCAGACATACAAAAAACATCCTGTCAATTAACATATGACGATCAAAGCTTCTGACAATAAACACATGATGCTTGTAGCTTAGCAGCTCTTTCCAGGGAATTACTCTGGAGGTGAATAACTTTTAACCTCAACATCATTTCTTGCCAATTCTTTGCAGAAAACTAGAAATAAACTCACTAAATGAAAGCTAATAAAAATGTAATGTAAATGTGATAAAACAGCTACAGTTTGTTATTCCAAAGGTTTATATGTCACATAAACAGGAAAATGTAGTTCGGCATGCTCATAAAGCACTGCAGAAAGACTGGATCTATCTCACATTGTTGTAGTAGTTTTGTAAAATGTTCTTTGTGCTGTTAAACTGAAATCCGCCTGCATCCTGAGAAGCAGATTTGATGTGTGGGATTCATTTACTTCCTCATTAAATCCAAGCTCATGAATGCAGCTTTTTGATCTTTGTGTCTGAACAACAAATCGTTACAGGTCACACTTTTGAAAGTGATCAGCAACTAGACAGCTTTTCGATTACACATCTATTGATTAACCCAACCCACCTTTCGATAAACAACCAAAAACACATGAACAGCGAACTGGGAAAGTAGTTTAGAAACGAATCGACCATTTTTCAATATCGTCGTCTCTCCAGGGGAGCACGACAAGGTGTTAACACCACATTGACCCATCATCACCTCCTCAAGTTGGGTTGATAACAAGTTGAACAAATAAGCGTTAACATTTAGCAACAATCATGTGGAGTTGTGTTTGGAGCACAGTGTTGACTCCCCTCTGATTCCTTGAGGAAATACTTTTGACATTTTAAAGATCCTTTTAGAGATTCTTAGTGCAGTTTCACCTGCTGATTACAGTTTTTGCCGATTCAGGTTTTCAATGTATTAGATGTGCGATTGGGCCAGATTTTTCGAAAATGAAGGATTTTTTTGTGTGGCTTGTGTGCGTCTGTGTGTATAGTAGGAGCCTTTAAAAAAAGTCTGACAAGCCGGTTATTTGCTGATCTGTGGAATCGTCCTGTTTTGATCAATAGGCCTCCAGCTTTTAGCTGCTAAACGTACCACCGCGTAGCTGCCGTACTTAGTTTAGGCAGTGTAATGTGAGCTTATCTGAGCTTTTTGTTGTTGTTGTAAAACAAGGTAACTGGGGAAATAGTAAAGCTGTGGACATTTAAAACAAAACAATTAGCTGAAAAGATACAGAGCTGAGGCGTTCAGTCACTGGATCCAGTGTTCACATGAACATTTGGATTACAGCGGCTTACACGTGATACTGTTGCAGCGTACGTATATTTATCTGTTTTATTCCCCTAGCTGCCAATTAAGCAGGCGGTAGACTCCCTACAAACTTTCCCAAAACAGTGATGCAGTCCCGCATGAAACCACGTGCAAAACGTCTGCGCTCCTGTGCCTCCTCTTCCAATGGATTTTGCACAATGCCGCTCGGCGATCACAGGAAGTCAAAGAGGTGGAAGCTTTGACTTAAACACGCTTGTTTCGGTCCCGCTGCGTGAAACCACGGACGCAGGTCGGAGATCTTGGCATGTTGGCAAGACGTGAACCGAAGCAGAGGAAGCTTCCCGAGCTGTCCAGCACAGACAGGCCAGGTCTTTCAGAGCTGTAGTGGAGAGTAGATACTAAAAACGCTTCAAATGTGAAGCTTTAGTTTTCTGCCGCAAACACGTTGGCATAGTTTGCTCACACAGCAGAGTTAATGATAATACCACTTTCACACCAGCAGCTCACTGCTCCAGCTGTTTGGCGCTGGCCATTAGTCGGCTACACATTCGTGTCCAGCTGGCTACTTTACTCTACACGTTCTTGATTCCAATAAAACAGCCTTTATGGGAGTCAACGTCCGTGCACCACAGCAGCTAAATGATCAATGCCGCCACCAGAAATATCCCTGAACATACTTTGAGCATTTACAGCATGGGTAAAGTAGCAGCTACTGGATACAAGTCCAAATCTGAGAGTGGAAAATGCAAGGAGACGAAGTATACAGCTTTTTCATACTCGAAATACTTTGTCTGTTCATCTCTCGCACTCCGAATGAATAGTTGAATCGTTGGGATTTGATTCGGGTAAAGCCCGAGAGAAATTGGAAGTGAAAAGCAGGATTCATGTTGCCATAGGTAGAAAACAATTCTTGAACAAAAAATTGAAAATGAGGAAACTGTCAAATCCAAGGTATTATTTTATATTTACCTAAAAAATCCAGTGACGACTACACAAAGTGTTTTAAGGCAAAAGAAAAGCGTAGAAGTACAGATTTTGAAAAGGCAACAAAATTCATAGCTGGAATAGTTATGCCTTCGAAAATGAATTCCAAAATAACAGAAAACGTAAACCCGTATAGTTTGACTCGACCCTTTAATAAAAGCGGTCCAAAAAAAATTCCTTCAAACTAAAAATTCTGACAAACAGGACATTTTTAAAAATACCAAGGAAAAATCTTCTTTCTGTGTTTAAGTCCCAGACGATCGTCAATCAACCATCAATAAACGTTTTGCGACGGCCTCGTGACTTCAGAGGATCCATAGGTTCCCAAGCAGCGACCACATGTCGGCTGTTATGGAACTCTATCAGTGACATTAATTAAAAAAATCTGTGCACCACCCTGAGACCAGGAACTTCTAACCCAATCATAAAATTAGTCTCAAAATATGTTAACATTTTAAGTCGTATTCAACATTAAGAGTAAACAATGGAGGTTGGAATTATAGAGCAGTCCATCCAGATATTATAGACCCTGCAATAAGAAATCACAAAAACTGCTCTTTAAAATATAACCGTATACATTCTAACTATACCAAAGTCAACACTATTTAAAACAAATATTATTAATATGGTACCTACAGCAACTCCGATATTTCAGATGTCTTTTTGCATTCAGAGAAGTCGCCCCCGACTGGTCAGCAGAGAGAATGCAAGTTTCGGTCCACTCGATGGAACCACTGGTTGCAACTTAGTTCTACCCCTCTTAAGAGGAGGTCTGCGTCTAGTGTTCATGGCAAAGTGGCACGTCTTCCTTAATCAGATGCAGCATTTGAACTCTTTGGGTAACGCAGGGAATAGCAAACGTCCCGGATCTCGCGGCGAGATGGAAATAATCTCACATCCAAAGTACACCAGCCTGCGCTGGCTTCCAGAGAGATTTGTTTTTTTTGTTTTGCTGCCAGCAGTCAGCCGTGGGTTTCAGCGGCACACTTCAGCATCCAAGTGTTTCTTAAAAACCCAGCAGTTGCAAATCCTGCATTAATGATTTGTGTCTCAAAATGAAGTAAACATAACAAAAAACAACTTCTGGAAATGAAATACTGGGACATACAGGATGAGTTTAATATTCCCAAAATTGATTTCCACTGACATCCTGTTGCCCCGCCGATCGAGCTGCACACTTCATACTGCATGTCTGCAATAAATCACCTTCACGGATCAAAAATACAAACAGCTCAGAAAATGATGTGTCCCTCACCTGCGACTAAGAACATTGTTTGTTTGGTAAGCTTCTCATACGTAATACGCTTATGAGTGATCTAAACATTTGGCTTGTGACTCAAAGGATCTCAGCATGGGCTCCCTTGAATTCCTGGACGAAACGACAGATCAATCCAAAGAGCTCTTGAGAGTCTTGGTCAGCCGGTTCACCGAATTTAACCTTGACAGGAGAGAAAACAGGATTAGTCGCTGGGAAATTAATAACTTTTAAATTAAAATTAAAAAGACCTTTTGATCTCTACCAAATATATTTTACAATTAGCACCTACAATCCCTTTTCATAAAGTGCCTGGGTCATGCAAATTCTTCTTAACAATGGTCTTTAAATCACCTCATATACTGCCTCAGCATGCAACCCATTCCTTGATTGCACTTGTGCAATAAAGTAGACACACACTGCTTAATAAATACTCACTCTTAGCTGGTTTAGGTTTGCTGGCAAAAAATGTGTGCGTGATTATTATCGAGTCAAACGTTATCAGGAGGGGTCACAGTGTCTAAGTGTGCTGATTGGCTCATTGCATGCTGTGGACGACGCAGGCTGAAGTTAAGGCTCACTACTCTTTACTTCTTATAATGTGGTGGTGACCTTTTTTCCTGTTCTTTTCACCGTTTATAATATGGCTCCGTGGAAGCCGACCAACGAGCTGTAAGATTACACTTGTACGCACGCACAAGTTGAAGGAAGTGAGGAGACTTGTTCCTTGTAGGCCCTCATGTGACAAATGAATACATTAAAGTCTGTATAAGGTTTTCTAGTTTCTAGTTTGTTTCCTTTCTGCTTCATTATATTTCCTGTTATATGTAGTTTGGATGGATATTTTCCAGGAAGCATATTTCCCAGGATGAATCTCTAATCCCAGAGAAATCTGTGTTTATATTGGGTCAGGTTATAATTGGTGAGAGACATGATCAACGTCCACGTTAGCATTAAAACAAGTATTATTACCAACTTTATCGCTGCATCATTTGTTTACGTCGACGTAATACATTTCAAAGCTAAACTGTTCACTCTAGTGGAGCCAAAGAGAAACAAGTCACTTGGGACGAATCTTAAAAGGTAAAGTCGTTTGTACCTTTATATTCAAATCATTCCACAGGAACAAAGATCTTATTTTTAATTTTTATCCTATTGAGTTGAAGAAAATGTGTTTTCATCTTGGCAATAAATAAAAGAATAGAAAAGTTACTGACCGTGTGAATACTTTTTATGATCATGCATACAAAATGATGATTTTAGGACCACAAATTTCCATGAGCCTCTATCTTAAGTAAATGTGCATATTTGTTATGCAAGAGCATCATTGTGAATCCCCCCCCCCGTGAGAAGTGACTACATGTGACACCTCTTCCCAAAGCTGCTGCTCCCTTGCACGACGCTGCAGCCCAGTCAGTCTCAATCATTTCCTCCGACGCTCCCGAAGGGGCTTATTGTGAATGCAGGAGGTTTCACAGACACACAACACGTGTGCAAACGGCGTGTGTGTGTGCGCACACAGTGCAATAAGGGGAGGCAGCCTGATCTCCAAAACCTGTTCGTAAAAATGTATACGTAAATCTTGAAGATACAAATTCTTAGTGATACATACTAATTAAATACGGACTGGTCCCCCTATTCAAAGTGAATGGGGACCTGTACCCCGTAAACACACTTTGTGAAGTCTAACCATGTAAAATAAACGTGTTATGATTGCATTTTTAACCAGAAATCAATGTTAAATTGTAAGAATACAATACCAACCCTAACCCCCTCAAAAAATCCAACATGACGGGGAGACGTTCACTCAAGAATCAAACATGGTCCGCCATGTTGTTCACTCAAGGGGCGTGGTTAACCACCGCCAGTTCGTATGTATTGTTACGAATTTGTATGTTTTCGTATACATTTTTCCGAACAGGTTTTGGAGATCACGTTGGGGGGGGAGGGGATGGATGCAGGTGTGGCTGGTGACTCAGAAGGAGAATGTGTCCGTCTTTAAAGGCCACTGGTCCGATTCAGCACAAACTTGGACGCTCGATGCTCGTGCTGCTCTGGTATTTCAAGACAACCGAATGGACTGAAGGGGATATGCTGACATTTTCTCTTTAAATGTACCTTTTAAACCCAATTGTTTTGGGTAAGAAAAATCAACTGTATTATTCAGTATGTCAACCATGTCCACTTTTGTTTAAGCATTAAACCCTTTTGCACCTAAGGATTAAAAACAAATCATGGCCTGAAGGGGACACTGCAGTTAAAGGTCAAATTGCTCCATTTTAAAAGGCCAAGACCACTAAACCACTAGACCACTTTCATTAATAGATGGAGGAGTGACTTATGTTAAGAATAATAAGGAATATGACTGAATTATGAAGGATTTGTCAAGTGAGGTAGTGGCACTAAAGAAATAATGGGACATTGAATGGGCTTTGTGCGGTTTTAATGTACTGCATGATTATGCATAAACAAACCCAGTTTGAGGGGGAATGTGAAGATAGGTTAATATAGTTGGTGTACCAAGGTAAGAAATATGTAATTTTTTATATCTAGAAATAATCGTTTATGTAATAAAGATGTTCTCATCCAGAGAATTGAGTTTTGATTTTTGCACCGAGCAAACATTCATATTTCTTGTTTATTTAAACAGGCTTCTTCAATCAAGTTTAACTTTAATTAATTCTTCTTTAGTTAGAAAGTATCTTTCTTTGCCGGAATACACAGATCCTAAAAAACTCAATGCAGAACAATCGAGTCCCTCTCGCTAGCGTCGACTGTGTTCAGTCCCCTCGCCCTTTAGTCGTACAGTATGTGAGTTGTGGAAAAAGGTTTGCAGTACACAGGAATCTAATTGTGAGCTTAATATAACCCAATTTCCTACCAGTCCTAAAACTCACAACTCACACTTTACTATGTCAGTGCTCTAGCACAGCAGGCAGGGTGATTGGACTCTCAGTGATGATGGATTGTCCATGGAGATACGGGAAGGGAGAAAATATAGGCATTAGTTTAGTATTGATTGTTTTTGGTGGGTACTTACATATAAAGGAAATAGCACCTGTTAAGATGTCAAAAGGAGGCTTGAGCTCTATAAACGTGATCTAACCAAGCTGGTGGGCAAAAGAAATGTCCTCCTTTTATGGGTGTAATGAAAGAAAACACCGGCACCACCACCTATAATGAATCTCACATGTGTGACAGGAATTTCCTTTGTGAGAGATCTGATGTCAACACAACTGCTGAAGGCGAGTCAACTTCTCAGACAAACGCATTAAAGAATATAATCATTATCGAGTCCGGTCATAACCAGACAGCCCATGACTAAGTATGAATTCATCGTAACGCGTTACAAACATATACTTAAGTAAGATATTCGTAGTTCTAAATCATTTTCCACCAACACATTAATGATTGCAGGGCGAATACATTGCCGGAGCGCTCGTTGATGGGACATCGCAGATTAAAAGGGTCCAGTTGAATTGAATTATTTAATTAAACCAAGCAGCGACGTGTGCTGTTAAATGATGTGCAGCTAACCACTATGTCAAATGCATTATACCCCAGTAAGACGTGAAGGACAACCGTTGGACAGTAACTCGTCCTCTTCCTCGTGAAATAATGTTTCACAGTGCGTGGGCGGGGAGACATTCTAAGATGACAAATAACAGCAGAGGGCCACCTGGACCCCGCTGGACCATAGAACGATGGCTCACCGAGGCTGTACAAAAGACATACTGGAATAATAACATGCGTATTACCAGTGTGACAGAGTAGAGTTTCTTCATCTCCTCGCATGTATTCGTCAGTGCCGAGAGATCCGTTTTGTACTTTTCAGTTGAAGCCTGGGTATAAAGAAAAGCACGATGAAGTCATGGTGAGGGTTTTTTCATTTGTTCAGTCAATCACTGCTCCACCCTTAAAGCTGCTGTGGGTCAAACTCTGCACAGCCTGCACTCGATGTGTGTGTGTGTGTGTGTGTGTGTGTGTGTGTGTGTGTGTGTGTGTGTGTGTGTGTGTGTGTGTGTGTGTGTGTGTGTGGATTTCCAAATCAACTTAAACACTTGTATGTGATGAAATGGCAGTCACGTGATTCTTTAAAGTTGCATATTTGAAAGTATATGAAACAATGCAAATGATGACTTAATAATGTATATGTTAGCCAAAGCCAGCTAGCTTGTTGTAGCATCTCAGTTACTGTGTAGCAGTCCGATGGTGGATGGTATCAGGATGAGGAGCCGTTTACTAACTGGCTTCTAGTGACACATCAGGTTACACAGAGATACGTCGCCAACTGTTGTAGTAGTAATAATACAAGTAATTATACTTGAGTTGACTTTTTCACGGGTGTTAAGCATTTAGTGCTTTCTAAATTAAAATCAGAAAGCCACGTAAAAGTGGAGGTGATATAATAATGTAGTGGTGATAGAGAGGAGAAAAGACAAAGACAGTGCACAATTCAATTGCACGAGAAGCAATGCAAGCAACAATGCTTTGTTTTTGAAATGCACACAAAGGCATAAATAAATAATAAACACAGGATTTACTACTTCACCTTCAGGTCTTTGTAGAACTTTTGGTGATGAATTCCAGCATTTGTCTTCTTGTAAGTTCTTTTATACTGAATGACTTTCTGCAGTTCATTCTTCAGGACTGAAGCAACACACACACACACACACACACACACACACACACACCTTCGTTACCATCGATCATATTCAACCACTGAAGCAAAACGCTGTTTTTAAATCGGAAGCTGTCTCCTGTGTTATCCTGTAAAATTAGGTTTTTGTGCTTGTGGCTTTGTACTGTTGGTAAGTCATCATCAAGACGACATGTGGGGTCGAATACGTTTCCTTGACAATGATAATGCTGTTCCAAAAAAAAACAATATAGCTAAGCTACAGTTAGAGAAAGATCTAGTAAAAGTTGCCTCGGCACATGAAATGGCAGGATCGGCATTACGCCGATCACAGCAGTCTTTGGACACATTAGTAAAATGTGACTCACCATCTACCTCTGCGGTCAGGCCTTTGATGGAAGCTATCCAACAAAGACAGAAAAAAAAGCAGTGACACACACAGAAAAAAACACATTTCACTAAGTAGACCTCAAGTGAAAGGTACCACGGTGATTCTTTTGTTCAAATCCTTGATCAAATCTTGATTACCAAATACCTCCTGGGACAGTTTCAAATTCTGCCAACTCCCGGGTAAAAGCGGCCAAGCTCGGTTCATGCAACATGATCTGCTCCACAAGGGCGTTTAGCAAGGTGAACTTCCTGTCTTTCCCACGCAGCTGGGTGAGCTGGAGAGGGAGAGAAACACAGAGTTTGGAAGGAAAAGGCCACGGCTTGTGCAGACCTACTGTCCCCCCGACACACAGCACGTGTTGTAATATCGTCAACAAAAGGTTTACCTTGGATTTTTCATTTTTGCTTGGAGAAAGCCATTGGGGGAAAGCATCCAGTTAGCAACACTTTTACACAACAATATTGAGACGGATTTACTCCTTTGAACAATTTATGTGTTTTTTGGAGTTAAATATTTAGTCTAAAAAGGCCCTCGTAGTCTTTTTCTAGGTTATGTTGTTTACCAATTTAAGGCCCCAGCTAGTCACTACGAATACAAAACATGCACCAAGTATTGACGCTCACAAATAACCAAGGAGAGCCAAAAGATGACCCGAGATAAACCTCAGCGTACTTTTCTGCCTCCAACAGCAACAGTTTACTAATCTCAATTAGACCTAAAAACACTCTGAGGGAGCGAGAGGCCTCGGCTTCATTAAAGTGAGCGCGGGACATTCCCCAGTGGGAAAGAGGCTTAACTCTCTGCGCCGCAATAAGGTAGAATCATCCCTTCAAAATAAACCAGAAAAAACAACAGATGACTGACTGCAGTTAATGACGACGTGCTTCTGAAGAGATGCAGCCGCAAACTCATAATTGTCAGAAGGACCGCGTGAGCGACCCGAGCGAACCTGAGCAGAACACAAAAGTTGCAGGGAGAGGCAGAGGAGCCCTGCTCTGTATATCAATGAGTAGTCTTATTAGCCCCGCGCTTCAACTCTGTCAAAGGTCAGGCCACAGTGGTCGGCTCCTACGTTCGTTAAGGAGGAGAGGCGGAATCCCTTGGCCTTTTCCTTCCTGGCGTTCTCGTTGAGGTAATTGCCGATGGCAAGGAGGTACTCCAGCACCGAAACAAATGACCTGCAGTTGTTCAGCTGCGTGCACATTCTGATCTGCTGGTTAATCAGCTGAAAGACAAAACACAGAGGCACAGAGTAACATTGATTTGTTTTCTTTTTTGCAATTCAAGCCAAGTGACTCATTGGACCTTGTAAAGCGCTGGCAAAAAAATAACTCCCGCCTTCGCTGTTTTACGTGATCGGGATTAACAGCGATCTCCACACCTCACTTGACCTCATGAAGTAAAATAATAAACAGAGGTTTGCTGTTTTGGAAAGATCAGTATTTGGTATGCAATCGTGTCAAGTAGAAATATCCCTTTAGAACATCGCAGTGTTTCCCTGCTCGACGCCGAACAGCTACTGTTGAATATGGATGGAAATTCTGCCAAAAATAAATGAAAGTGGGATTTTAGGTTTTTCAAATGGTGTTTTGGAGGAAAACTGTGGGAAACGTAGTCCTTGACGGAGAGCCAGCAACAACACTCCGACCATATGCTGCTGTTTTAAGAATAACTTCCCAGAGCCTGCAAGTGGGACAGTCCCAATTAGACAGAAGAGAGAGAGAGAGAGAGAGCAGATATCCAGCTACATTATAACTTCTGGCTTTGCAGAGAACCATCTGTACCATCGTAGCAAAATATTGTAGTTTGTACGAGCTCAGCCCAACGTTGCTCCTCTCAGCCGGCCTCCTGTAAATATATTTAACACAAATGTATTTTTTATGTCTCCTTGTGTATATTATTCACTCGTCTCTTGGTATATGTCAAATATATGTCAAGCAAATTGCATTTTGGTGATTTTGTGTCACTATTCCTATTTTCTCTCGCTGTAAAACATTTTGAAAGATTCATTTTTACCTCCAATGCCAGCACACAAATGTGACAAATCAAATGTGGTTTGGGGAAACGAGCAAACCGAAGCTCTGTTTACATTTCCCAAAAGAGCCTGGCTGTGCTCTAATTTATTCAGCTGTGCCCTCGTCCTTTCGCTTCTCAAGGAGGAGCCACTGATCGAACCGTTGAAAACTCTTTTGCATTTTGTTGCATTTAGTTTGACCATCGAGTACTTGTACGTCACGGCTCCGGGGGTCGTCTCCCCGTCTGCTGCATCGCTGGCTTTGCCTCTTTTTATTTTCCAGGTCCACCTTGCAGAATAAAACCTGACGTCCGGGCAGCACGACGAAGCACCAACAAGCACGTCATGGTAGGCAAGAAACAGCCCCCCAGGTGGCCCCTTTTCCGTTTTCGATTTCTCAAGCCTTTGTGTGCGCCAGGTGGAGAGTAAATCCTGCTTTATGTGTGTCCGTCAAGAAGTCCGTCATGTTAGACAATTGGAGGGTACAAATACCGAGGTTTGTTCAAAAGGAATTTCACTGCTACAATGCAGCAGGAAATAGGGGAAAAACCAGAAGGAGAAAGCCGAGAGTAAATTGAAACTTTGTGACGTTGCTAATCTTTCTTTTTGAGTCATCTTGAAAACACTCATTTTGTTTCTCCCTGTGTTCCAACAAAGAAAAAAATGAGTCCAAGAAATCAATGGATTACGGTGCCGGAACTCTTATCTGTTGTTTCTCTTTGTTCTTAAACAGTCAGCAGACAAGAGATTTGGCCTGAAGCGCTGGCGTAGAAAGGAACAGAGGCTTGAGAGAATCGTATCAAAGCAAAGAGCTGGGAGGTTTTCTGGTACGACTGCAATATGTTCACAGCCTGCAGTCCTCTGTGCCAATAAACAACCCTCCATTAGGATGCTAACAATCCGTCTGATGTCAAGGACCAGATGCTCACGTTTTGCTGTGTGTGTGTAAGGGTTAATACCAAAAAAAGTATAATTTGTATGTGTATTTTCTTCATTACATTTTTTTATGTACTTTATTTAAGAGTGCTTGCCCGAAGTTTGTCGAATGAAGAAAAATTCATTAATATTTCTACAGCTTTTCCTGGTGAAAACCCAAAGTGTTTTTTTTATTGGGTTTTTGATGGAGATAAAATCTTTTTGTTTCTCACCACCTATAGAAAAATGGGACTTGATTTGATTAAGAATGAAGAGAGCTGTCTTAAAGTGCCTTTCATGCCTTTCCATTTTCAAGACTCCAAACAGGAGCAAAATAAAGCTTTTACCTATAAATGTCCCCAGATGTTCTTTTAATGTCTGAACATTACCATTTGCATTACAGAATACATTTTGTTTTAGCCCCTTTTAGCTTGTGGGAATGGAACAGAGCGTAAAACAGCAACGACTTCTGAGGCCACCTCAGGTGTGTAAACTCACGGGCTGCAGGTCCTTCATGCTGATCGGAAGCTCTCTCAGAGTCAGCAGCAGGTCCAGCTGTGTGCTCAGCAAGGGGATGTTGCACATCTGCAAACAGGGAGAAGACGTGAGTGTGGTGTGTGTATGCAACCATATTTCTATGTGGTTCTTCTAAACGATCTCAAACAGGGCGCTGCAAGGGGGGTGGGGGGGGCGGGTACATTTGTGCGACGGCTGCATCTCGCTCTCAAGTCCTCTGTCGATATTACCTCAGGCGCAGGGTGAGTGCTGCGGGCCTGTCGACAGGCTGATTTAACAGAGAAGCTGAAGGCTCGACACCTCGATACGACTGGCTGAGATGACTAGTCGACCTTTGAGTCGGTGCTAACTCCTAATAAATCATTCGGCGCCGTCAGACCGTCTCGCTGATGCTCAGGTACAATCTCCCCAGGAGCCAAAGGACACTTGGTCTGACGAATGGTTAAGGAGAGGTGTTGGGATTAGCACGTGTTTCTGCTCTTGACACAGTTTCAGACAGATTTTAAATTACTAATGTAAGGTTAACAGATCATGCTGATGCCACGCTGAGGTATAAATTTTCATCTCGCTTTTAGAGCAGTCACATGTCCAGACACAGCAGCAAATTTCAGATTTGAAAATAAATATCTTTTTTTTCGGGATTGAAGTTCCCAGAGCGATCACGTGGCGCATGATGCAAGAATATACAGTTGAGCACAACAAACTCCCCCTCTTTCGAGGTTTGATTTATTTCAGGGAAAAGGTCAGCGCTTCCACACTAATATGCTTTTAGTTTCCATTAATGGTGGAACATTTGTTTCCAGATGCCACTCTTGTATTCTCTGCACACATCCTGAGAGGAAAGTGATTCAGAACGGTTAGACAGAACATCAGACCCTTTTATTCTGCCTAAAAAAAAAAACAGGAGAGTTCACAGCCGTGCCAGCAGCTCTGTGCGGCTGTGCAACGGTACGAGGGCGGTAACATGCCGATGGTTAGCCGATACGTCACGTAGCATCAACTAGCATTAGACAAAGTACAGCTGAGGTGATGGGAGAGCTACTGGTTTGCTGATATTTGGTCATTTGGTACCTGATGGCACGAGACTAAAAGTCAAAATCGCCAAAGGTTTTACATTTTATCTCAAAAGGAAAGTGAATTTATACACCAAACTTCATGGCAAACCATTCAATAGGACATTTCCTTCAAATCGGTGTCAGTATGATTCATCCTCCGGGGAGCATGAATCTATGGAGAACATTTCATTAAATACCAAAGTGGAGATTCAACCATGTCTGCTGGCTTGTCGGACCAACGTGGCCATTTGCTAAAAAGCACTAATTAAAAAATCACTGCAGACACATGCGTGTATTATGAGGGAGTGAGCGTTATGATGCAGCATGACTGAGGTGGACTATCCATATACTGTATACCATATATATTTAAACTATGTGTCACACGAAAGACTCATTTGTCTCCAGGTAATAATGATGAAAAAATTATTAAATTTTGAAACTGTGAACCTTTCATTGTCTTTAGTAATTTAATTATAAGCAATGGGGAAAATGGGTGGAATTACTAAACATTACTGAGTTTCAAATGTTTTCAGTGGCCATAAAGTGCAATATTTAAATTCCTGCTTTAGTTGGCAGCAACAGGTAAGACTGCGTATGATGTCAGTGTGGCAGCGGTCGGCAGCGAGTCTTCCATAGTCACAATGTTTTATAAAATCCCTTTTAGCCGGTGTCAAATATTACAGAAAGGAACAGTGGGCTGATCCTGCTGTTCATCTGTTACCCCTCTCGCATATTTTTACCAACCACACATGAGTCAGATGAATACCAGGCACGCTGGAAGGTGATAACCAGATGAAGAGCTTGTCATCACACACTGTGTTAATGAGGAGGAAGGTGAATTTCCACTCAACAAGCCCTTGGGAGAGAAAGTGCTGGTTTCTTCCAAAGGAAATTATACCTCATAAAAGATATACCTCAGCGTGGCATCCGCATGATCTGTTAACCTTACATTAGTAATTTAAAATGTGTCTGAAACCGTGTCAAGAGCAGAAACACATGCTCGCGTATGTGTCTGTGTGTCTTGATTCCTAACGCGAACACTATTTTTACTATTTACTATTACTTAATTATTTTAATCATGATCATATTCAATCGTGATATTTATAAGCATAATGTGGGGTACGAAAAACTTTACCTCCATCATGTACTGGTCCACAATATGCAGCTCTGCCACAGGTCCTTTGTGTGCTTTGTACATTTCCACATCACTCATCGTGGGGATGTACCTGACATAAAAGCAAAAGTAAAGTATCACTGCACTTGTTAGAAGCCAAACTAGTTTTTCAAGACGCTTACTGGGCCCAAGCAATGCACAACGTCTTTCTCAAATACTGGTTAAAAGACGGTTTGGTTAGCTACCTGAAAAGATGAAACACGTCAGTATGTAACCTGCTAGTGCATTTTTTTAAATGTGGGAGACCAGTACCCAAAGTCCCATGAATAAAGGAAAAATCCCAACAGCTTTTTGTAGAGAGAAGTAGTGTGATGCCAACTTCCAGTTCCATTACATCATCCCAGTAACCCTGCACTCAGTACATCCACCAGAACCCCCAACAATCCAACATTCATTTTTCTATTTCTACCACAAATTTCCAATTCTGACCCTTGCCTCTTCATGTCATCACATGTTCTTTAGCTCTCCGCCTGGGACTCCATTACATGGATTTCCAAGGCAGAAAAAAAAGGAAAAGGCCATGCGATTAAAGCCGAGTAAGGCCGGCGGTCCTTGTAAACTTTGACAAAGCAAACAGCAAGACGCTAATGGGAGCCGCCATTTACACGCTGGCACTACATTCGAACCCCGCTCATCTTGAACGGAACTTCCTCCTCCTGTCATTTCTGTGCTAGGCTACGTGCCACTGGAGTTGCACGGGCCATTAATATTGCAGCACCTGTTGGGAGTCGTCCTTTTTAAAATTGTATTCCTCAGGCGCACGCTCAGCGCATTAAAATATATATTATATTTTCATAGAATAAATAAAATACTCCTCACAGCGCATTAGATCGCTTGCCTTCCAGGAGGTCAGCGTCCAAAGCCACAGACTAAACTGCAAGGAAGAGTCAAGAAGCATTTTACCTATTCTCAGTGTTTAAAATCCCCGGAGAATGTCAATAGTTTCCATCTCCGCAAATAACCACGGATGAAAAATGTATTAGTAAGCTGCTCTGGTAAAAGGTTCTGGCATCTTCTCTTTAGTATTAGAACACTGTGAAGACGTCTGTGCAAACTTTTCACATTGGCCTGACTTATGCACTCACGTCCCTTGACGATTTGCTAAGCTGCTGTTTTTTCCCTGCCAAAGAAAAGACATTTCAACGGCCATTGAACATGAGCTGAAAAAGTCACTCACCCTCCAGTTGTGACACTATCACTGATAAAAATCAGCATATTTTTGGCTCAAAGTCATACCTCCGGAGGGAGGTGATGTGCTCATCAGACAGGCCTCCATCTTCCTCGTTAACAATGAACAGTTTGTCCTTCAGCTCTCCCGCTCGCACCGGAAAACTTTTGAGGAAAATGTCTAAAAGAAAAGTAGACAGAAAAATGGCACATGAAAGCTTTCCCGTTGACAGGTAGTCTTCTTATCCTCCGATGAAATGACTCAAAACACACACAAGGGGTCATTTGCTTAATCTACTTTCCCCCCCGATGCCGAAGGGAAATGCACTAATTTGCATTGTACCAACTCAAAGCTGGTTTCATTTTTTTTTCTTACACAAAAAATGTCTCTGCATAATTTAGGAGCCGTGAAAAGCATTCGTTAGAGCGAGCTTCAGGAATTTCAATACATGTCAATAAAATACATTTTATTTTCACAAAAAAACAGCAATCTGCTTGTCAGACACTAAAGCATTGCTTAAAATATTTTTTTGTTGGCAGGTTGTCAAATAAATCAAGTAATAAAAAAAGTTTTTGGTTTAAACTTTGTGGAGAGTTGCATTTCTGTCACAAAAATATTTTTCCTTAATTTAAGAAACAGTATAAAAAAAGCTGAATGGGATCCATTAGAACAAGAAAGTATGTGAGTAATTCCAAAGATGTACAACTATTTGTCTATCTGTGCTCAAAGGCTGACGACGCAATCTTACTGAATCTAAAACGCTCTCATTGAAAATCTACTCATGACAAAGTTAATAAAATAATCCTGTTGAATGTTAAGCAGTAATCAACACGTCTCTAAATCCTTGACATTAAGAACCGGAGAGACACGAGTTCCCTCGGTGGTACTAACAAAAATCTTCCGTGTCACATTTTTAGATGAGGAAACAACTTCAAACATCACGAACAATGTTGAGCACCACCAGAGTCCTCGGGAGTGAAGGTTAGGCGTCTGGCCTGAGAAGACACAGTGCAATCAAGCCCTTTGTTGATTGACACTCAGACAAATTGGAGTGTGGACATGGAGAGCGTCCCGCTGGGCGCAGGAAGCCACAGGTGTGCTTTTAATTAGGAATGCCACATTTCCAGCCTTTGAACAGGGACTCTCGTGGTAAAAAACCAATGTAGCCAATGCAACGTACAGTACACAAGTAAACAAAGCACCAGCCAGAATATTATCTATCTCTGCAAAGTTATTATTCTGAAAGCCTGTCACTGCGGTGGAAATCATGGGAAATTGCATGGAATAATTGACTTGATACTCCTTTAGCTCAGACTCCAGCAGCGCCGGCTGCTGAAGTTAAAGGACTTCTTAAAAGGACTCCACCACCGTAACCAAGGACCACCAAAATATACACAACATGACAATTCCAATTAGTAAAAGTACACTCGTATTTTGGACGTATACGTTTCGTACCAGTCCATATTGTATACTGTTTTGTCTTTCTTTGTTGAGATATCTAAGTTGGTACTGGACGACCCTAAATAACTCTATTAGCAGTTGAAAGTATCACCACCTCGTCCGATGGGTAAAATACTGCATGTACAATTTACAGTCTAATAATAGGCAGAATAAGTACTTTTACTTTTGATACTCAGTTTTTACCTAGTATCATGTTTCAACTACTTCTGTAAGTGGTGACGGATTTGATCATTGTGCTGGGCAGCAGTGTTGGAGCATCTCACCCGACACACCAACCTCGTGTCTCCGTCTGTCATCCAGGTATTTTTCTCACTAATGCAATCCATCAAATCAGCAGGAACGACAATCTTGTTGTCAAAGGTACAAGGTATTACTTATTATAATCTACAGAAGTACATGGATCATTGCAGCATTTGTCCTGTGGACTCTCTCCACAGCGGATGGGCTTGCTCGGCATGAAGGATGCAGTTGACGACCAAAGGAAACCACTCAAGAACGCAGTACAATAGTAATAAAACCACCTGCTCAAGCTGTCTCACTCCAACTGCCTCAGCTGTCTAAAGCAAACAACACAATGTTATTAAAGCAGCCGTGGACACAGTAAGAGTACCAATTGTATGTAGGCCTATGATGCATTTTTAACTGTTTGTTTGTCCGTTAATTATCAATCACCAGTGAGTGTATCCTGTCTGCTGAGCTGTTTAAAGTTAAAAAATAAAGATATTTTTAATGCTTACTGTGTCGCAGTGTGAGGGAACCAGATGAATAAATAGTATGGCAGAGAATGAATAAACATCACAAATTTAGGCAGGTTTGTGGGAACAAACGTGCAAACAAGTGTGTGTGTGTGTGTGTGTGTGTGTGTGTGTGTGTGTGTGTGTGTGTGTGTGACTGTGTTGGCGATGCCGAGAGATGGACAGGTAAGGAGAGAAAGAGGTCCATACAACCAATTTTTATTTCTTCCCATATGTGGCTTTAAAGAGATCTGAATCCCAGGGGAGGTGTGCGGGGGGCAGTTATTCCCCCCCGATAACAGCGATGAGTCTATAAAAGCGTTATATGCAGAGACTAAACTACCGAGTAGTTTGTAGAGACACAAGACAAGACATTTCCAATGCATGAAGTACGACTTTTACTATCTCTGACCATGCTTATTGGTTAATAAGACCAAATTAAGAGGGAGGGGGAGACACAAAGTCTCTCTTGCTCTTCCAAATGTCTGATATATTTTTTGACAGCCTGCAGCAGAAAGGTGCATGGCCTTGGGTTGCCTGCAGGCTGTCATCAATCAGCTCCTGCTTGTGACACAACCAAGGTTTCCCGGTCAAAGCACAAACTCAAAACGCTGGCATATTCTGTATCAGGACATGAAATCTCTCATATTTCATGAAAATGATAACTGATAACTGATTATGTTGCCAATTTGCACACTCACACTGATTCCACCAAGCAGCACAACACATCTGTCTCGGTGCCTTGCTGAACGAGATGTGAGACAAAGTTTCTGAGATGTTCTCCCCCCGGTTTGGGTCTTGAAATGTAAAATCCACATACACTCAGTTAATCAAAAGCAATATTCCATTAGAAGGGATGTAGAGAATGTTCCACATCACACTCGCTCTGCATTGTAAGGATTGGTGACAGACTGCCCCCTGCAGACGTACAGGAGGAACATCCTTCTGCTGTTGTGGCATCGGAAGCGCCTCAACCGTTGTTCATAAACAATGACAAATGACCCAACAAGATACTTCTGAGGGAAATCAAAGTCTAACTACAGATCCTGGTTTGTACGTGGCGCTTCCCTCTGCTGGGTTTTATTTCATAACTTCTAACACACTGAAAGAAAAGCTCCTTTAATTGACATTTACTCCAGTAGAAAGCCTTTATGTTACACCTTGGAATTATGCAAACTAGGCCTTTTTGCCTGGGAAAAATCAAATCAAATGTATTGCAGCAGACAATATTTATGAGTCACATATTAGTTTTTGAGTTACTCACTAAGGTTGTGTGCGATCTTCTGATTTAGCATAATATGCTGGGTGTGGCTCGGCTCAGCCGCACCGAACGTCCCAAGATCTTTCACGGCAAATTGCTCGTATAAGCGCGATGTGTCGATTTCAATCCTCCCGGTGCACTCCTGTACCCAGAACGATTTTGCAATCTGCCAAGAAACAAATTAATTCAGGACTTAGACAACTCCTTTATATGAGGAAATCAATGTGAACATTGGAAAAGAGCAACACTAGGGAAGCAATAACTTGCCAGAACAAAGAATAATGCACAGCAATGACGCAACGTGATCGAATAATAAAGTGAAACGAATTGAAACTGGCTGTCTTTGCCAAAATAATAAAACACTGGATTTAAATATGAAACAGGTCCACTAATGAGACACGTTTTAGGCTTTATACTTAAATGCACAAATAAAGTAAAAATATGGTTGTGATGATGGAAGTTTCCGGTTTGACAGTTACCTTCTCTTGGCCGACTACGTCCCAGTGGAAGGCCTTGGTAAGCGGTTTTCTTGGCTTCATTCCGAATTTAAAGGGAAAAGGAGGCGGGGCTGGGATACTCGGCCGTGAAGGCTCTTTAACAACCGAGGCGCCTGAGTGATGGTTAAGAGGCTCCACCTTTGTGGGCGAAGGGGTGAGGGGTTGTGGCAAAGTGGTCTTGGATAAGGCTGAGACATGCGGGGGGGTTGGTGATGGGACGGGAGGCGAAACATCAGGCCGGATGACATTATACTTTGTCAGTTTTGGAGTAGGATGCGCGTGACCTACTGGGGAGGGGCCTCGGCTCTCGTCTGATGGGGGATCTTTACCGCCAGAAGGGGGATCTACATTTTCAACTGCACTTTGGGTCGTATTTCTATCGTCCAATTTGCCACTTGACTCAGGCTCCGAGTCGGTGTCCTCAGGTATGCTGAGATGTCGTGGTCTGTTTTTTTTCATAAAGTTGCTTCCGTCCATCGACTTCCTCTTCCAGCCTGAGCACAGTGCGTCGATAGCCTGAACCCAAGCATCTCGCTCCTTCTGGACTGATCCAGGGGCGGCCGCTTCATCCGGCAGAGGGACGCGGAACCTGTAATAGTTCCACAAAACTTAACTCAACTCAACTCCCCTCACTGGCTGAGATACGCCTGACACAAATCGTAGACTTTTCATTTGAAGGGAAACAGCTGAACGTTTCCACGCAGTTCATAATTCTCACTCACTGGTACTCATTTTTGTGGGTGATCAGTGTGAACATGTCGGAGACGTCCGGTTTCTGTACGCTGGTGTCGCCGTCCGACAGGTGGATCACGATGGACGAGGGCCCCGAGAACATCCCGTTGGCGTTTGCGGGGCCACGTTGCTTGACGGGGACCAGCGTGAGCTGACCCGGGTGGAGCTGTACTTCATATCTGTAACGCACCGGGGAATGTAATGTCAGCCACAACAACAGCACATGGATACGTTAGGTGGACTTCCATGTGGAAAACAGATTATATCAGACAGGATGTCAGTCATCTCAAATTAGAGTCTCTTAGAGCATGTGTTTAGTTTGGCACCTCCAATAGTGTGAGAACAAAAACGCTGTCTCTGCTCCACATTTGTTGGGTATTTGTTTTACAATAACAGCTTTACGGTAATAAGGACACATCCGTACTTCACCCATTTGAAGGAGGCCAGGCCGCCCCGGTGCAGCAATAAGACGCCTTCCTGAAGGCTCTGTGATTCTTCAGGCTGCTGAAGTGTTTCTCCATTGTCACTGTATATGTTCCCATAAATGATCTGATTCACAAGCTGTATTATCTGAGTATCAGGAAAGAAAGGTCTGGATGTAAACATCACTTACAGAAAATAAAAACAAGACATTCCCCCTCATCGCACAAATAAGGGCAGGACAACATATCAGCGTTATATTAATCTTGTGAGGATAGATATTGTCTTATATGTGTATATTGTATTATGACATAAGTGGGGTGTTTTTCTGCTTTAAAAGGGTGTTTTACAGTAATATTATGTAATTTTCCAAAGACTGTTATTTGCCTTTCTCATAGTCATTAAATCCATATTAATGAGAATTATTTTTTGTAAATAGTTTGTAAAAGCACCATTGTTGATTCTCCAATAACTTTTCAATATCAATACCGATGTATTCGGTGAACACATTGTGATATTTAGTTTTCTCAAAAACAATTTTCTGGTTACTAACATATCGACACTAAGTGTAAATCCACCTTGTTCTTGTCCTCCAGTGAAGTGGCCTCCAGTTCATAATCATGATGACCTTTGAAGGAAATGGTGAACCTAGAACCCACTCCATCGTCACAGCTTTTGACAATGAGGAAAGGAAGTTGCCGTTTGATGATGCCTTTCTCGATACTGCACAGCATTTTGGTGTTCAAATCGATCTGGGTTTGTAACAAAGAGAGGGTTTGAATTTGTTTAGAAGAGCACATCAACTGCAGCGCAGTAAGAATTATCATATCTTCTCAATTCTGAGCAAGCAGGCTGGTCCAAATCTGAACTGAATCTCCAAAACTATTGACGGGATTGCCATTAAAGTTTTTAGAGACTGACATGGTTGGTCACCTGACTTGTCCTCTTTATATAAGGTAGATTTTGGGCCTAAATATTTGGTTTATGGTCATTAACCTGCAAAGTAAATTACCCTGCAAGCAGCCTCAATTGTACTTTAGTACAATTTAGTGTAAATTAGCGAATTTCAGATGGTCAATACCCTACACGTATATGCTACACATTACACTGAAGTTTGCGGATGACACCACCCTCATTGGACTGATCTCTGGTGGGGATGAGTCCGCCTACAGGTGGGAGTCTGACCATCTGGTGTCATGGTGCAGCCAGAACAACCTGGAGCTCAACGCTCTAAAGACAGTGGAGATGGTTGTGGATTTCCGGCGGAACAGAGCCCCACCCTCCCCCATCACCCTGTGTGACTCCCCCTGTTTCCTGCCCCTTCTGTTTCCTGGGCTCCATCATCGCCCAGGACCTCAAGTGGGAGCTGAACATCAGCTCCATCACCAAGAAGGCTCAGCAGAGGTTGTTCTTCCTGAGGCAGCTGAAGAAATTCAACCTGGCAAAGACGATGATCATCCACTTCTACACGGCCATCATCGAGTCCATCCTCTGCTCCTGCATTACCATCTGGTACGCTGCAGCCACAGCCAAGGACAAGGGCAGGCTGCAGCGGGTCATCCGCTCTGCAGAGAGGGTGATCGGCTGCAATCTGCCGTCCCTGCAGGAGTTGTTCGCTTCCAGGTCTCTGAAGCGAGCTAAAAAGATCGTGGCCGACCCCTCCCACCCCGGACAGAACCTGTTTGTGCCCCTTCAATCTGGCAGGAGGCTGAGGTTCATCAGGACTAAGACCTCCCGCCACACCAACAGTTTCTTCCCGTCGGTAGTCACATCAACAGAGCCGGTCCCCCCACTGACTGACTATAACATTCCACCGGTCACTCTCCTTCATACTGCACACGTCACTTTAACTGTCATTTATCACTTTGTCGTCACTCGTCACTTTGTCACTTGTTCGTTAGTGCACTTTATGCTTAATATTTTTTTTACTTTTTTAATATTTAAAATTTTAAACTTTATTCCCTTGTTTTATACTAACCCATAGCCTTATTCTACTAACTCATTGCATTAGCATTTCATTTTACTTTATTTCATTACTTGTGCTCTGCTGTCTTGTCTATTGTCACACTGTCTACTGTCACGCACCAACCGCCAAGACAAATTCCTTGTATGTTTGGCATTTTTTGGTAATAAATGTTTCCTGATTCCTGATCCTGATTACACCTGCTGTTCATCATGTTAGCATAGCCACTGTTAGCATTTCAGCATGCTGAGCCATAATGACGTACAAGTGGCCTCACAGAGCTCCAGGCAATTAATCATGTTTGGTTTTGGTTGTTGTTGTTGTTGTTTTAACTCACCTGAAGAACCCTCTTCTGCCATCGGTAGTGGTTGTGTTTGTGAACACTGAAGTTGTACTGCGACGGTTTAGGTTCCTAAAACAGCCACAAAAATAAAAATGTCAGACACGAATACCTGTTGGTAAAGTAGCATCATAAGAACACGATATCCTCTGTCCTTCATCTGTTTCTCGCTAAGGCATCAAGACCAAACGACTGCTGCATTCCTTCAAAGACATAGAACTATCTGGGTTAATCAATCTGGCCACAGACAGATCCAGAACCAATCCAGCAGGCTGAGCAGGACATTGACAACTATATTTACGAGAAATATTTCCTCAAGAGTTCCTAAATAGGTCATTGAGAAAGCAGCATTAGATACATGTTATTCCTTTAAAATGATTACACTCGCTGTATGTCTTGTGGAGAAGGGAACGGCTGTAAACGTGACATCTTTGTTTGCAAGCCTTTAGTTCATGTCCACGGCTTTCCTGATGTTTACAACAGCTGTTTCCAGTGAGCTCATACCTCTTCAGCCGCTGCGTTGGGTTTGCTCAGCGGCGTCCCGTCCTTCCTGGCCTGGATCAGAGCATCTTCGATGGACAATTCTCCGCTCTTCACCATATTCAGGATCCTCAGCTGCTTCTCATTGCTTAACTGAAAGTCCAGCAAAGTGCAGGGTTGTTTTTTTTTCTTTTTAAGAATTCATCTCTATTGTGAACTAAGCATTCCGCATGGTGGTGTGACCAAAACTACCAGCTGGTGTAAAGTGTGTTAAGCAAGCAAATTCCAGAGTTTTACTACAAAACGCTTTCATGCTTTTTTCCCATTTAGCTGTCATGCAGAATTGTTCTTGAGCAATATTTCACGAGAACTCCTGTTAATTATTTGTGGAGGGTTGATAAGAGAGATCAGTTGTCTCAGGCTCAGCGCTCCATAATTGTAAACAGCGAACAGTAAACCAGTCGCTTTTACAATCATGCAATTACCGGAACATACTTAATGCTTTTGCATTTCTGCGTAAAAAGATGTTTCATTTAGAAGGAAAGTTAAATTGAGGAAGTAAGAAATGCTTGAGCAACCTGTTTATCTTCTGGTTCCACCGAACAATAATGGAAGTGAGAGGGCTATTTTGCAGAAGCGGTGAACACTTATACGGTCAACTAGGACTTTATAATGCTGCTGAAAGGAGTTGCTTTCTCCCTTTCTGAAGTACATGAACCCGAATCTTACCCGAGGCAAGTCCTCTGTGTGTCTTTCCTTCTTCTTCGATCCTAAATTTGGCATCATGACTGCTTAGTTCTGACAGGATAATCCATGCAGCCTCTCAGTCCAACAGGTCCTCTTATAAAGTTTAATCCTGCAAGACCCATAATTAAAATCTGCTTCCGCCACCCGGGAGAAAGCAACAGTGCTGTGATTTGTGCAAAGGTCTCTACGGCCGCCCTCTTTCACCTTCTGTAGGGAAGTGGTGGTAAGGCAGGTAGAGGCGGTTCAGCCACACCCACTGCGAACGTTTCCTGTCTGCATTCGTGTCTCCACTTGTAGGACAATGTGTCTTATCTGCTGCTCAACCTGTTTGATGGCAATAAAGCCATGACTCTACTTTTACCACAACAACACAATGAATACGGACAATTCACCTCTCTCAGAATGACAAAATGTACATTTTTACCTTTTAGCCTCCCTTCAATCATCCCTGTCTCCCCAGTCGTGGTCAATGATGTTGAATAGAGCTAATTCAAGAAAGGCCACATAGAGAGTACATGTAGACACACACACAAAAGTGTGTATCTCTTGTATTTCTATTCCTCTTCTACAGAGGAATAGAAATACAAGAGATATGCACTTCTTTTAAAGAACTTCTCTCACAAAGTTCAACAGAAATGAAAAGAGATCCCACAGCCAACGATAGCAAAGAGTGATTTCTACTAATATAAAGCAGTATTTAGCAAAAGGTAAGGAATTGTACAAAATTCCCTAATTTCGGACTTCATTAAAAATATACCACGTGTCGAAAATGAAATGGTCTGAAAATGAAGCAGTTGTACAGTGAACATCTGGGAATCCCCCCCTTTGAGAAAACTCCTTGGGGAATCCCTCGATCTGTTTCAGGCTCTTCAGGCTGTGTGAACATGTTGAACATGTTGCCTGTTTTACTCTTTGAAAATACAACGTGGCATTAAATAACCGAATGATACGACTTTTTACACGCTGTTTCTTTATTGTTGTACTCAACCGCGACATAAGAAAACTGCATTTAAAAAATGCAAAAATGAAATGAATAAATAACTGCGAAAAAGGCAATAATACAAGTAATAACTTATAATAATATAATAAATAAAAATAAATAAAATGTTGTAGTAAGATTCCTGTAGCGCATTAAGTAAGCATGTGTTCACGTTTTTCATTGATCACACGCTACATTTTATTCCCCGTGGGTTCAACCGGTGCGCAAAACCTCGAGACATTCACGACTGAATTTCCCCGCAAACAATTAAAGAAGTGACGATCGCTTTCGGAAATTTTCGGAACGCTACGATTACTTTACAGGAAACGGTCAAGTAGAGAGAAACACTACCAACAGGAAATACCCTTCAATCCGCTCCTCCCTCCCGGATTTAACAGAGACGACTTCAGACCAACAACAACACACCGCGTCTGTCGTCTCACCAACATGTGTCCACAACTGCTGCTGCCCATTGTGGGATTGGGATTGATCTATTATTCGGTGAGTTATTTAATCACAATATATCGACACAATGTATTGTTTAGTCGTGGGGTTGCTATGATGTTGTTTGAAAGCATTTGCTGGATATTTCACTAAGATGCCCAGCTGTGTTCTGGACGGAATGACACAAAGTCACTTTCACTTTCCTTTTCCCCGCAGCGGTGACGACGCGAACGTCCTTTTTTTTTTCCTTAATCATAAACACAATGACATTAAAGGAGATTAAATGTAAAAGAGAGCATGGCGTTCAGAGTAGACATCTTCTTTTAGTGAAATGTTCGGGACTTTCCGCCTCCTAATCAAAGAGGAAGTGGACCTTTTCGATGCAGAGGACGCTGCGTGCGCTCATTCGCGTGTCGCGTGTGTCGCCCCCACAGGCGCTGACCGCCGCTGCGCACGGCTGCGACCCGCTGACCCAGTACGAGAAGGACGGAGAGTGCTGCAAGATGTGCGGTCCAGGTGGGTGGACACACTGCCCTGGTGGAGGCCGAAATAACAAAATGTCCTAGAAGCACTAACATCTGGGAGGTTATAGCTGGTTGAATAAACATGGAACGTGCAGTGTGAGGTACAGTTTATAGAAGACGCACATGGCAAAAGGCAGACGATTTCTGTTCAACAACTGCTCTTTTTCTTTGTCGGTTGCTGTTTCACTTTCCACATCCCAATGCCCACCCCTCCCCCCTTAACCAACTGTTGGATATTAATTTATATTCCAGGCAAAGCTTAGATTAATAACTATTTATTCATGATGAATAAATATATGTATATATTATTTTTTAATGAATTAAAGCTCCAGCTTTTCAAATGAAGCGTCTTTCTCATTTGCACTATTTAAAAAGATGTGAACTGAATATGTTACTTCTTGTTTTTCACTTCGTCTTTTGTAAGAACCAATTTGATTAGAAGGGAATGTTTAGGGATTTTTCGTTTGTTCTCTTTCCTTTTGGTTGAGCCGGCCTGTGGGTTTTTATGCTTATCTAACCGTACCCTGGCTGTAACTTTGTAGTTAGTAGTTGTCACCTGATTTAACTATGTAGCTCACCGACGGATAGGTGGCATTAATAGAACTCTCAGCAGGACAAACAACCTAACTATGCCTTTCAGCCACACGTTCCCATTTCATGGATACACAAACACATACACACATACATTAAGACTGCAGAGGTTGTTCACTACCACTTGTCTTTACTGTGGGTGAAATACAGTTCATTTACCGTTTCAGGGACCAGAATGTCGTCCAGCAGTCCTTGTCTGGATCCTCAGTGCACAGAATGCCCGGACGGTGATTATCAGGATGTATACACGTCTGACACCAGGTGTAACCTTCAACCGTACTGTGACCGAAGTAAGAACGGAAAACCGCCGCTGGATGAACACAGGTAGAGTCTAGCTCCATGTAGCGCTACTCACACCATGTGTCTACTTTCAGATAAAAACTTCAAGATTGTTGTCCACAAGAGCAAGAAGGTGCGAAGCACCTGCATCTGTAACACGGGATTCCACTGCTCGAGTGAAGAATGCATAACCTGTGTGCCGCACGCACGCTGTAAACCAGGACACGGAGCTCAATCTACAGGTACGACACGCGGCTTGGCCTCACATTCAGCGTAAAGAGCGCCCAGCGGTGTGTCGTTCGATGTGCTGAAACTTTCTCCCCCGTGCGTCCAGGGAACCACACGCACAACACGGTGTGTCAGAAATGCACCGAGGGGACATTTTCCGAAGACACCTCGTGGGACGGTGTCTGTCAGAAGTGGACAAAGTAGGTGCAGGAACTCAAACCCACAACTAAAGACTCGGTTCACTGTTTAAGTTTGTGTATTACAAAAACAAATGTTCCCGCAGAGATAGCCATGGAAATGATTTCTGATGAATTATTACTAAGTCACTAATAAAGGAAATAATTCTGAAAATCCACTTAAAAGAGTTGAGTGAAAACAACAGTACCACTCTATACTGTATATTGTGTGTATGTATGTTGAATAGGAATCCAAAGGCAGGCACCTAGAAACATTCCCGATCTGAATCCTTCGCAAAACAACAGTGTCCTTTTAAAAAAAAAAAGAAGAAATGACGTTAATATCACCGTTCTAGTCATTCCCACATTAGCAGAGTACCCGATGCCCCAAAGGTGTATCCAAGCTTGAATCGCTGTCACATAGGACGTGTAAAACCAGGAAATAATCCTTTAACACTGTGGAATCCTTTGCAGATGTCCGGATGGACTTATGGTTGAAAAAAGCGGCACCGACGTATCCGACAACACTTGTGGTAAGTTGTGCGCGGGCGGATCAACTGTAGCTTCCCACACTTTCGCTCTCCTGCCATCTGCAGCTGTGTGGTGTGTGGTGTCGCGCTCGAAACCAAACTACAGTAGGGTGGGCGGCGTGTTCGCTCTGCAGAGTATATGTTGTGGTTTTGAGTGTGTGTGACTAAACACCTTTCAGCGGCACGCTGTTTACAAGCAGCAAGGATCAATATGTGGTTTGTGTTTTTGTCTTGCAGTGGCATCACGGTCACATGCAGTTGTGATCGTAGTTGGGTGTTTGGGGACTGTGTGTCTCCTCGTGATCGCGGCAGTTGCCTGGTTTTGTCTACGGAAAGGTACGTTTCCCTTTGAATGCTCTACATGGCATCTTTAATGGGTTAAAGTTTCAGTTATCCTCTTACTTTACACATGTTCTCTGTTTTTTTTAGGTCGATCAGGAGACGAAAGCGGGAAGGTGAAAAAGATTTTGATGGTACATTGTTTACTGTTATATACTTGCAGAAGTAACCAACGGAAATTGAACTCTGAAAAAGACAATTTACTGTTAATGAGGGTTGAAAATAATTGAAAACAACGGTATTTTACCTCTACAGTGTCTCATTAGTACTTACACTTAAAAGGATCATTTTAGCTTTTTGAATTTTATTTGCCCTCTTTAGAGTTACATTGACTTAATATCTGCTCGCTAAATATGAAGCCGTAGCCCGAGGGTGGTTAGCTTAGCATCGCACTAAGACATAAACAGAGAAAAATAGCTAGCCTGACTACTAAACTAGTTGGTTATTTAAAAAAAAAAAAAACGAATCATTTTTTTGTGTACGTTTTTGAACAGAGCGAGTCGAGCTGTTTCGCAGTCTTTATGCTAAGCTAACTGACTGCCAGTACTAGTTTCATATTTAGCCTACAGCCTGTGAATATTTTCACAGGCTGTAGGCTACAAAATAACCAAATAAGGTTTAGTTCCAAAAATGTTAAGCTATTATTTAAAATGACATTTAACGGGTCTACGTGGTGTAACAGGGTTAACTGGGTTAAGGGAAACCAGGTTGCTAATAATGTGGAGGTGAATCAATCTCTGGAATTCAAAGCGTGTAAACTGATCAATTTTAACTGTTGACGTTGAATTCATAGAAATTCCACTGAACCGTTTTCTATGCCCACAACGGAAAACAATTTCCGTTCTATTTCTACATTTGAACACTACTTCCTCTCTCGTAGGGCTGTTTTGAATCCCGTTCGGGAGACGAAGAGGCGCCGGTGAGAGAAACCAGAGTGCTGATAACCAACCCAACGGAACCAGCTGAGGAAGAGTCCCTGACGCCAGAGCTGCTGTCCACCCAAGAAGAGGCCGGTGCGAGGACACCGGAGGAAAACGAGGACGAGCTGAGCCTGGAGACACCCGACTTAGTTCTCAGTGAGAACGGAAACTTTGTGACGCAGGAGAAGGGGAAATCGTCGATCCTCTCCCGACAGGAATCCCAAACGCAGACATTCACCACCTGAAAGTAGCGTTCGGCACGGCCGTCATTGCTTGTGTGCCATTATGAATGCAACCTGCGTTACGTAGCCCATGTTTCTGTTGTACATAACTCCCGGCTTTAGATGTATATAGTAGCTTTAAGTGTCAACAGTAACTTTAGCTCTAGCAGAGGTGCATTATACTGCTGTTTATGGCACTTGTTGTAATTGTGAGTAATTAAAAGTTAGTAGCGTGCCTTAAAGTAGCGCCCTGCATCTATGTTATTGTTTCATATGTGTAAATTGGATAGTATAAATAATACAAGCATATATTTTCACTCTATGCAAAGTGGTGTTATGGGAAAAGCGTAAAAAGACACATGAAATTTACATACGTTTGCTTTTGTATTAAAATATATGCCACTTAAATATTAGTCCATGAGAGTGTTTCTTTTTTTCTTTTTTTGTCCTTCATCAATGTGTCGGAAATGCTCACTTGGTTTTAGTCCTGATTGGTTTGTTGAATGACGGCGTTAAGAGTGAGAGGAATCCGCTACCTGCAGTTCACCTGGAGCCACAAGATAACGGGAAACTTATCTCTGGATAACTCATGAAACATAAAAACGTGAAGATTCCCCAATCGAGTCCAGGAGTTTAGTTGAGCGTTCATGATATTTAAGCAGATGAATGGATGTTTATCATATTATATATGTTAAACGTTTAAGACTTTTGAGATTTTGAACATCAAGGCAATTCAGAGTTTCACATAAAACCATTAAAACCATCGGAAATCAGGCATAAGGAAAGGAATACAATTAAATAAACACAGAGATTAAAAAAAGGAAACAGGTTTCAGTGCAGTTCAAAAAGCATCTATTTAATCCTTGAATCTTAATCAAAAGCAGCACAAAAAAGAAAGAATAAAGTACAGATCATACCTGAATGAACACTTTGCTTTGACCCACCAGCATAGAAGGTGATGGGATGAAAACGTGCTGTAGCTCCACTTGATTTCCGCTGAGGGGCGCTGTCGTTCCACCGCTGCAGAGTCAGCCCATCAAATAGTGTCCCGACACGACCCCGCCGGTGAGGTCTGTGTCAAACTCAAACGTGAGATACAAGGAGGGGCAAAGGTGTAATTAAGTGCTTTAACTAGTTTCATAAGAATCCCGTAACATTTTGAGGTTGTGTGATATTGTATTCTGTTCATCTGTTGGCTCTCAGATGAGAGCTAATCTGCCCCCTGTGTGTTCCTGTCTGTGGGGATTTGCATGCAGAGGCAAAGGCCAGAAGACAAGGCAACAACGGCCCCCGGGGGCTTTCTCATTATCCCCGGATTAATGAAGGTACAGCCCTTTGAATTTACACGGACATTTGGTGCGAGTGGCACTGAAGAATCCCTCTTCCAGACCCCGACCGAACTAAAGAAAGCCCATATTGTGCACAATTTGAGGGGAAGTTGCCTCAAATCTAAGAAATTTCAGGGCTGGCATTTTTCAAAATGTAATTGTAGGGATTAACCAGCAACCATCTGACCAACAAACCTGTTTGGGAAGATTAAAAAGCCTCGGGCGGGTTTGATATGCAAAGTAAGGCCAATACTCATCCGATTTACATGCATACGTCATCTTCTCTTTTTGTGTTACATGTTGTAGAAAATGTCTCCCTTATCAACACGAGGTTTTCATAATGGTCCATCTATCCGAGGTGAAACTGTATGAATACGACATTAGGTTGTTGTCCAATGCAGCAGTAACAGAATGTCGAGAAGCTGACTTTATTTAAGCAAAATATTTATTCATGAATAGACAAAGGAAACATAATTTACATGTTGGCGATGGAAAAATACATCTACATTTATTTACAACAACACGTTTCAGTCTTTGGTCTCGTGACAGGGTTTCGTTTCACTGCAAACCTCAGGACCAAATCCCCGAGGTCTGAAAGTTTAAAGTGCATAGATGTGGAAAAGTGTCTCTTCTGCGTGTCCAAATACCCACTCAGACGACTTCCCGCGTGGTGTAACACGACGGGACGAACAGTCCGTTTCTCGAAGCCCACTCGGCCCACAGTTTCCCGGCCGGGTGGTAAATGCTGTCCAGCGGTCTCTTAACCGTCTCCGAGGTGGCGGTCTCGGCCAAAGACCAGATTTTGGGTTTCTGCGCGCCAATGTCTTGTTTACTCTCCAACGCGGAGCGCGTGTGATCAGCGTCCCTCTTTTCAACCTTCTCAACAACAAGTGCAAGTTTTCCGTCTCCGCGCTCGCTGCTTTGCTGCCGCGGCAACTCCGACGGCGCGTCCGCGCGCTCCGAGCCGTCCGGCGCGCCGTCTCCGTGCTCGTCGGCGCGCGCGGGGTCGCCGCGCGGCTCCTCCTCGTCCAGGTGACAGTTCGTCGCGGAACTGTCGGCGTCGTCGCTCTCTCCCTCCTGCTCGTCGTCCTCCTCCTCGTCTGATTTGCCCTTACACGCCCAGCTGACCCGGTTCTCCTTCTTGAGACGTCGCCGCGCGTTGGCGAACCAGGTGGAGACCTGCGTGAGGCTCATTTTGGTGATGATGGCGAGCATGATTTTCTCGCCCTTGGTGGGGTACGGGTTCTTCAGGTGTTCGTTGAGCCACGCCTTGAGCGCCCCGGTGCTCTCCCGGGACGCCACTTTGGCGACCCTGCCGGGATCCTCGGCTACTCCATGGCGGTACGGGGGATAGAAAGGGCCCCCGCGGGCCAGTAGCGCGTGATGGTAGGGAGATGTGGCCTTCAAGTCAAACCCGTGGTTCTGGAAAACAGAGATAAGGAACGTCAGAGCAAGCAAAGGAGTGTCGATGGTGCGCAATAACGCGCGGGTTCGTCAACCATTGACACAGAGTGCGCGCTTTCATTATTTAGAAACCCAAATGCAATAAAGAGAAAAAAACATCCGAACTCATCGATTCCGGAAAAGTTTAAGAAACTTAACATAAGTTCGGTACAACTCAGGGTGGGAAATCTCCCTTATGCCTTTTCCGAAAATAAGTTGTGAAGCTGATCCAAGATCAGACTTTTACACACGTTTCTGTTTATAAGTTGTACCGATTCCACGCGCTTTTAATGTGAAGGCAGGAACTTTCCGTGAATCGTGAACTCACCATGTGTGCGACGTGCCGGTGGTGCGGGTAGGGGATGAAGTTGTATCCCTGTAGTCCAGAGTACGTTATCGGAACTCCAGCTGCCATCGCTGCCAGATGCTGAGCCTGTTGTTGTTGTTGTTGTTGTTGTTGCAAACCCGGCGGGCATCCCAACAACGGGATCTGATATCCAGTCGGCATGCTGATGTTCCGCTCCAAGAAAAAGCTGCCAATTCCAGTTTGCGATGCGGGCATCTTTCCTGCGTCCCAGCTATTCGGCTTCGAGTGGCGATCCGACCTCCTGCGACTATTTATATACACCCAGCTGCCAGCGAGTGTTAGCTGGTGGGGGAGGCAGGGGGAGGTGCCACCGGTGGTGACTGACAGCTACGCTCAAAAGACCCGCAGCTTTCACTGGCAACAAATCCCATCAAAGGGGCCCTCCGCTGTTCCTTTTAGCGTTTTCGTGGAGAGGCCAGATACGCGCTGCTTATCGCGACACACGATTTGTTTGTAAAGAACTTAAGTTTCAATACATATGCAACATTTTTCTTTTCATGGATGAATAGAGATTCAGGCTTAACTGTAAGTTCATATTTTTGTTATACAGTCTTTAGGTATGTCATTGATCTAATTTAAAGAACAGCCTGAAACTTTTTTTTTACATATAGCTCTCAAACAGAAGAATACAAGCATGAGATACATTTCTTGTGACATGATGTTTTCTATTTGAACGTTTTCGTTGTTTTTATTTGAATTTTATTGAACCTTTAGTTTTCAAGACACTTACACCAGTTTGATGTGTTTTTAGTGACGAATTTAACACTTCGCATGTCTAGCACTAATCAACCGGGAGCTTTGAAAATGACCTGAATTCAGTTAACAACATTCTACTGTCGCTTATGACACTTCAGTCTTTACAGATCTGTAGTTCTGTGAATTGAATTAACTTTCTCAATGTCATTACATTTGCGAGAATAAACAATTAGATTATGTTTTACGCACGCGTAAAAGTGCCACTGGACGGATGTGTTGCCTTCTCCAAATACACTCCTTGCAGCCCTTTCATCTAATGATCGAATGAATATGAGCAAGTTATGAAGTGGCCTCTCACAATCTTTGTATTTGTTAATTTATTGTCTGAACCATAACAGACGTCCCTTTTACATGTCGGATGGCATTGTTTTGTAAGACGCGCAACGTTTCAATGCGACTAATTAAACGAAGTTAAGCGAAACAGGTGTTGACTAATGTATATGATAATTGTGAGATAACAGATGCTAACGTGTGTGTGTGTGTGTGTGTGTGTGTGTGTGTGTGTGTGTGTGTGTGTGTGTGTGTGTGTGTGTGCGTGTGTGGAGGGGGTTGGTGGAGACAAGAAGAGAAGATTACACTTCTTATTCCACTGCGCCCCCCCCCCCCCCCTTCATGCCCTTCAAAAGCACATAAACTCGGTGTTTGGGTTCAAGGGAGCTTTCATCTTGCATCATTTATATTTTTTTATAATAAGTATTAAGAAGGGTGATGATACCTAAAGACACTTTAAATATTTATTTTACCATCTTTTTGTTTTAGATTGATGATTTTATTTAGATTTATATTCCTCTTTTTGTTGGTTTTTAGTCTTAATCCAAATTGTGGATGTCCAATGTTATATTTGGAATGCTGTGAGTTGTACTTTCAATTTAACTCATGAGTTTGTATTAACTCACTAATTCAATAAGTGTCTTTTTTCTGGATTTGCTTTTGATAACTCCTGAAAATCTTTGCGGACTCATAAACTCAAAATGATTTATAATATTTAAGCATTATAAGGGTTTACAGTATTCACGTAGATGTATTTAACACATCTTAGCCTGTGCATACGTGCGATTTCATAGTTCAAGTTACATTCGCAGTCAGTCCTTTAAATTAAAAAAAATCTATAAAAGAGTTAAAATGGCAATCTTGCAAACATTTAACTATTTAATATTGATTTCCTTGTTCAGCAAATTTATGCCTACTGAGTATTTTCACTTAGTTTATTGTTTAGTTGAAACATCTTGTTGAAATTATACAAAGTGGTAAAAAACAAAAGTTTAAATAAATAAATGACTGGAAAATGGAAAGTTGTTTAAGTTACAAAAAATGTCTACAATCAAGCAATGTTTATTATTATATAATGAATGAACGTATAAACGTAGTCTTTCATCTCACCGGCAGATTTGCTCCGAAAACAAAGAAACTTCAAATTCTAAACCGATGCCGTATAATTATGTGTTTTCTATTGGTGTTGGTATTTTTGTACTCTGAAATGCACGTCAAGAGATTGGAATGTTTCTGGAAGAAATGCTGAAACAAATAAAATAATAATAAAAATCTAGTACCGCTCTTAAAAACAGCAGGCTTTGCTTTTTACAATAATAATAAACTGAAAATCTTTGGGTTTTGGACAAAACAAGACATTTGAACTGCTTTCAGCATTCTCTGAATTTTGTGGTCCAGATTTATTTTATTAAAAAAGTCTTAGTCATCAGTTGATGCGTTTTGGTATCTTAAGGAGGTGTTTGGGATATTATGTCGCATGTTGAGGGTAGACCAGTGCAACGATGGGCTCAAATATGAAGAGACACCGAAACTAAAACGCAGCAAAGGTGCAAGGAAAGTAGGAATTTCTTTGGGTTGAGTCCACAGAACCATAAAACAAATTTGAACAGGAGCAACAATGGTCCAGCTAGTGCAAAGAGAGGGAGGCCTGTGGCATCATAGTCTACATCTCACAACACAAACAGCTCAGGGCAGCGGCCTTTGTCCCTCTTGTAGAACTTCTTTTCATTCTCTTCCTCTTTTGGCAGCTCTGCCACAATGCAGGCGTTGGTCCTGCTCTGACAGGTTGAATTTGTTCTGTTTGCCATTAGGATGTCAGTCGTTTGCAGGAGAGAGAAGTGACCAAATGGGAGACGATTGTTCTCAGCACCCCAAGAGATACAGTACAAGATAGCAAAGAGGATGGAATTAGCTTCTTTTTTTTCCTGTGATAAGAAAAGCCATTCCTCTGTATTGTGACAGTGCTGTGAACCTAATCCTGTGCATATTCAACATAACTCGGTGCACAGAAAGGCCCGGGCTTCGGGTGAAAACGCAGAACGACGGTGCAGGGGGGCTAATGAGCGGGTCAGGACAAAAGGTTTAGGTGTGACCTCAATTACAAGCGATCCCCTACCTGTGAGCGACAAAGGGACGAAACACGCAATTAGAATAACTCCTAGGTAGGTGTGAACAAGACGACAAAAGCTTAAAGAGAATCCGCAGAGTCTTCCACACCTATTGCTTGTTAGTTTATATTTCCTGCACCAGATACGATTCTGTCTGTGGAAACTGAGCCAGAGGAGACAAGATGGTTATATTCATTTTATCGGGGAAGATGTCCACACATGAATTGTATATTTTAAATGTGTTTTCAGACATTTTGACAGAATATTAAAAAAAATCCCAATAAAAACAAGCAATAACTCTCGAAAGACACCAGCTCAGTGAGAAGCACAGAAAACAAATGCATAATGGTCTCCAACCAGAACTCCCTAATGAGATTTCCCTGGGGCAGCAACACAAATGGAGAGATGTAAGCAAAGTGTGAATGTTATCAAGCTCTCCCACCTCTCCACTATCTGACCCCCTCTTCCCCGGACCCCCCTCCACTCTTTGTCCTTTGTCACTACTCTTATCAGGACCACTCTATCATTCTTTCAAAATAGTAGTGCCGCTGAAACCGCTTGCAAATGTAAGTATGTCTTTGTTTGGGGCCGGGCAGGGGCCCGCCTCCCCTCCGCTCCCTCCTGGGTGCAGCCTGATTGACGGCTCTCCGCTGGGTGAGTGACAGGCGGCGTCGGTTAGGCCGCGATGGCCTGCGTGACAGCTGCTGCTGCTGCTGCTGCTGCTGCTGCTGCTGCCGGTTGCGTCGCAGCGTCGGGGCCCCTGGTTAGTGGGCCTCCTTGGATCCCCCCGGCTAAAGAGCCCCAGCCCGGCCCGGTTTGCCCCGCGTGGATCCCAGGGAGAGCGGGCCTCCCCGGTGTTGTTCCATGTTGCAGATTAGCGCCTCAGCTCGCTGCACCCTGTTTCCACACATCAGCCACAACTGCACGCTTGCAGCCATAATGTTTTACAGTACAAACACTGTTATTTCTCAACATTCCCTTTCTCAGCCTGAGTTTGCAAGCTGTATGAAGATCTTGAATGATGGCAGGGATGCCAATCTCTTTTTCCCATCCGTATTTCTGAGTATAACAAAGTGAAATTAAGATCAACTGCATTCATTTAATAAAACCTTATTCTTCAGCAATAACACTCCACTCCTGTGCAGCAGTTCTTAGCAGCCTACAAACAATGAATTCACAGTTAGTAACGCACTACATTCTACATAATTTGCCGACCAGATCAACTTTTCGAGCTTTTCCTAAGAAGACATTTTTATAATATCAGTAGTTTATTTCACAATACTATCATTTATTATCTCTTCATCCATCAGCCTCCACCTAGGAGGAGTTTTTTACCAAGACAAAAATAATCACTCATACCTGCTTTCAACTACATTAGTGTCACAAGCATTTTTTATATGCTGATAAGAATACTTAAAAACACAACATGTCTCTCAACATCTTTGTACATCCGGTAAATCAAATGTTTTAGAGTTGTATCCTCTTCATTTTCGGCAGGTCCTGCATGCAGATGAACAAACTGAAGTCCACGCATCTATCATTTTCTCTCTTTAGCCTCACGCAGAGCAGCTAATGAGGTTATTGGGCATTTGTGACGTGACATCTACATTTTGACCTATTTGTGAAACAATGGTAACAAGGAAACCCGGGACATTGGGCTCTGTGTTTTCCAACTCAAAATAACAAAGCCAAGCAGCCGCTGGTGGGAGGCTGTGCTCTCATGGAAATGAGCAACTGAACCAACAATGTAGCGCCTAATCTCTTCAGAGAGAGGAATCAGTTACACAGCAGTATGCGCCCCTCAATGCTTTTCATTAGAGTCAGCGTGCTATCGAAACAGTCACTCCACCCCCCCTTACTCGCACACACACACACACACACACACACAGACACACAACCATCGTGTGTAGCCACAGGCCCAACTCATACAAGCAGTGGATACAAGGTAGCCCCCCGACAACAGAAGGGTTGAAATAAGTGGGGCAGAGGGTGGTATGGGGGTGCAGTGCCTCAAAGCATGGGATTAGAGTTAATGTGCCCTCCCTGGGTTATAATCTCTTCAGAGGGGGACTTTGTTTGAGGGGCTTGAGGGCAGTAAGATAAGTATCTATTACAGAAACTCCCTCTTATCCCCCAAACATCCTCGCTTCAAAAATGAAGCACAAAAACACTTGCCCCCGTCCCCCTCTGTGTCGTCTGATATCCAAGACCCAGAAGCAAGTGCTGCCCTTTTCAGCTAATCAGGAATTAGGGTCTAAAGCCGTATGGAGAGTTCGCAGGCCCCATATTTACTCCATCTGTAGCCCACAAAGTCAGGTAGTTTAAAGTAAGATCAAAGGCGGCTTAAAAAACCTAAGGTTATTGTATTGAAAGAAAGGGGGGGCATTATCACAAATCGCTCTTCTTCTCTGCTTCGTATAAAGAGAAACTGTGTGTGAGCAGCCAGCAGAGACACGCAGCGACTTTCAACTGTGCGCCGAGTAAACGATGCACGAGCAAAAATGGTGTGTACGAGGAATGAAGTGACCGGTACGGAGTTTGATATAAAATATAGTTTATTACTGAAATACATTCATTATATAAATAGTATGCAGAAGATGTGATGGAAGCAGTTTTTTGTTTTTGTTTAGATTACACAATTACCTTGAAAATAAACCCCCTTTTACAATGGCACTGAATTACAAACAAATAGTCCCAAATGTGCATCTTTTAAAACAGATGAAAAGGATGTCGGAAACTTCCTGATGCTGTGAAAGGTTTCTTGGCAAAGATTAACACTTTGCAAACACCTCGCAGCCAATTTTTGCCATTTTATCCGAGCTTAGAGTAACATTTTTGAGTAATCTTAAGTACAGTTTGAATATGCACTTGAAACTGAATCCTGCTTGACTCATGTCTCATTTCTTTGATCGACTGGCCTTAATGTTGATTTATCAAGTTTTTTGTCAGCATGCTGTTGTCGATATATGAAGCCGGTTTTGTTGCTGCATTCATTCGTGGAGGAAAACAACTTTTCTGCCATGCAGCGTTCTATTCACAAGCTACAAGGGAAAACAAACAAATAAGCAGCAAAACTCAAACTGAAAGCAAATGAAGGACTTGAGTCGCGTCACAAACAAACGTTTGCAAAGTTCAACATTCATCAATTCTTCGTTGTCAATCAAAGAGTTGGAGGTGGGTCAGAAAAGCATTTTGTACTTGTTTTTTATGCCGTGTATTTGGGATTTTTAATGATTTATTTAATACAAATTCAACATTTTCACAATTTAGTGTCTGCAAGCTGAGTCTGAGTACTCACATGAATCTAAAATAACAGCTGAGTAAAATAAATCGGTGCAACAACTTTTATGTGATGGAACATTTTAGGCACAAATCATATTTAATAGACCGAAACATACAAACCAGTATGTTCCTTTTTCAAAAAAGTCTGCTTATTTCAATATATTTAAACTTCAGGCCTCGTCACTTAACTCCTCACTGGATCCTCTGCACCTCTTCACAGTCCAATTGTCTACTTTTCGTCTTTCACGCAAACAAAAGCCGAGTTGAAAGAGTCTACGTGGCCTGAGCTCGTTTGAAATCGTAAGGCATAAGTAACATTTGTCAACATTCATTCAAATGTAAAGGCTTCAAGAAATACTTTTTTCCTGGTAAGTGTGCTAATGCTAATGCACGTATAAGCAAAGCATCATCCAAAGAGCATCTGTGCCCAGTAAACTGGGATGAGCGGTTTAGGTGTGTGTCTGTATATACGCTTTCAGTGTTGCTGTACATGTGCACGTAACAAATATACACGTATCACACTTCCACTGCATGGATTTTGATATATATATATATATATATATTCTTAGCGGGAGAATTTCCTTGGTCTGAATGGAGGAAGGGCGAGCTGATGCGACGGCGTCCTCTCCTCCTCTATCGGAGCCAGCTCCTCTGCCGAGCCCCACTTCTTCTTGGAGTGAAACAAGGACGCCAACTTCCTGTTCCTGTTGCGCTCTCTGGCCTGAGTGACTTGAAACTCTGAGATTCCAAGAAAGGAAAGAGAGAACATGATGAGGGAAAGCTTTGGATTTCCATAAATTAAACTAAAGAGATATATCTTTTAAACATGGCGGTGAATAATTTTTTTTCTACACCTGCTTGTTGCAAACATACAGCAGCTCCTCCAGACTGCGGCTGAATAACAGCACCTGTAACCCTTTTAGTCTCACGTGTGCGATGAAAGCTGGAGACGTTGGCCATTTCTAAATCTGCAGTGCTTTTCTTTGGAAATGTCTTTTTGCAATATGTCCAGTAAAATAATGAGTAGAGGTAAGGAGAGGTGCTGAAGCTGGATTTTGCTGGCAGAGCCTCCAGTCTTTACGCTAAGCTAACTAGCTAATCAACGGAGAGACATTACAGTGATATTGATCTTTTTATTTTTATTTGGCGTAAACAAAAGTGGTACTGATCTTGCCGTCTAACTTTTGCATAGAAAGGGATTAAGCAAATTTCCACAACTGTTTCTTTTCAACAAAAGCAGCATTAACAAATGTATTCAAATTGTAATGTTGTGCTTGAGACAAAACAATTCAAAGACTTTATCTAACATTTAACCGTAGCTGTATATGAGAAACGTCATAATGCTGCAGTAATGTCCTTTCTATATTCTGACAGTAAACTTTATTTCTGTCACCTTAATGTTGGGCTTTTCAACATAATTCACCAGCGACAGTAAAAGTGACTCACGCAGCTCGCAGTCTCCCTCCGGACCCTCTTCTTCTTTGATGTTCAGATAATGGCCGGCAAAATGGCCGCTGTAGTCCCTTAAATTTTCTTTGGCCCCTGATGAGAACAAAATAAAATCTTTGAAAGCTGGGACTTTAATCTTGGAAGGCAGCAGGTAGCAACGTCCCTCAGCCATTCGATCCTAGAGCTTTAATTTAATATCAAAAGTTATCATCATTGCGCATCAATGGAGATGCTATAGAGGTGAAATGAAAGCAGCTTTTACCATATGTCACTATGAGGAGGTCCAGAATATTCCGATGACCGTGTAAAGCTGCAATGTGTAAAGGCGTATATCCCTGCACAACAAAAGGAAAGCGTGCATCAAGAACCGTTTTCACTTGCATGATGAACTTCATTATTATTCTCAGTCCCGCTGACTCATTAACGGAGGTCACTTTTTGTTGAGTTCAAGGGTATGAGTGTGGCAAAGTGCTGGAAGGGCTTACTACCTACCCCCTAGAGTTTCCCAGGGCCCAGCACAGCCAATGAAAACAATGTGGGGGGAAAAAATGTACAAATTAGCAAAGGTTATGGAAACATAAGATAATGATAAAAACATAATTGCTTGACAATTTGCGGAAAATTGCATAGTTCTAGCGTTGTGCATGCTGGCATAGAGACGCTCTGTTTTGGGAAACAATTAACATGACATGACATGATTTATTAGCGGAGTACTCCGGCGCCCCGACAACACGAGCTGCTGTGATGCATTTGCACAGCTGGATCATTTAGGAGCATTACGTCACCGAGGGGCACAGGAGAAGAAATCGACAGCCATCTTGATGACCTTTTTGTTTCAAGTTAAGATCAAACAACTTACTGTTCATACTCATCACTTTCCGATTAAAAAGATGGATACTCACGTGCTGCAAGAAAGAAAAATACCAGGAATAAATCAGTGATGAAAACTTAAGAGCATATTGTTAAATAGGAAAGAAACCAAGTTACTGTGACCCCAGTACCTGTGCTGCTGCCTTGGTAAGTATTAATTCATTCATTGTACATTTTAAATAATTGATTTATCTTAGAATGTTGAAAGTGAACATCATAGAAACTTTAAAAATAATTTTAGAAATGAGCATCGAGTTACGGAAGCTACGGAATCCTGTCCCGGACTACTCAAGATGCTGTTGTGTTGCATCATGGGAAATCTAGGGGCAGGAGTTTTAGGATTTATGTCTTGAATTCTTTAAGTTGAAACGTTTTCTCCATATCACACAAATCCTTCTAATTTATTCACGTGTCCTGAATAGTTATAGTGCCTCTTTAAAATAATTTTGTAATTGTAAATAATTGTAAATAACTTTTTTCATTTAGTTTCAAATCAGTGTATTTGCCTCGGAAAACAGAGAAAATGCTTCTCTGTGACTTCGTTTTGCAAATTTATTTCAGTGTACATATTGCTCGCAGGTAATCAAAGAACTTCATATTTACTAAATAGCATGAGTGCCCCATGATGATGCAACATATAATGAATGTAGAACCAAAGAGGACAAAATCCTAATGCACTCACTGATTTGGTGTTGACATCAGCCCCCGCGTTAGCCACCAGGGTGGCCATGTCCTCGTTGCCGTGTTTGGCCGCCCAGTGCAGAGCGGTCTGTGTGCAACAAGGAAAGAAGAGTCATTCCTAAAAATGCACTTCCTCCACAACCTTCCGTACTATTATTGGGGATCAGGATCAGGATCAGGATCAGGAAACATGGTGAATGCTAAAGCACCGTCCCAGGTAGTGCATGCAGAGCGGGGCTGAAGGCCAGCTGTGCACCGAGGGGAGTGGACGGATGGAGGGACGCTTGGAAGCAGCGATGGAGGGATGGTTTCCTGCCATCTAACAGGGCCTAATTACAAAACAACACAGCACTGTGCCCCACAGTTGGGAAGGGGGGTGGGGCTGTGGAGGTGGGGGTGGGGGGTCGTGGGGCAGCAGCCTGTCAACCGGGGGGAAGATTGATGATGTTAGTGTGACCTGCAGAGCGGAGACCCACCCAAACATCAGCGCACTACTGTCAGCACACGTCAAGGAGGAAAACAAGCGCCCCCCCCGACACCCACATGTCCACATGCAAAGATGTGAAAATAATGGACCCGCGTGTGTACAACACACGCGCAAACCACATCCACCTGTCGGAGCAGCGCTGTGATCTCCAAAGCTTTCCCCACACTCTTTAAGCCGCGTAATTGTGGGCTCTCAAACAGGTGGGAGCGGAGCGGAGCTGCAGATGTCGGCTCAGTGACCACATCCAACCCTTCAAGGTCTGACCCGTAGCACGGCGAATCAAACAGTAACCGTCAGAATTTACACATCGACTGTGGGCAGAGCAAAGCCCGATAACGCCTTTAGGATTGGGTCTTTCCGTTTGACCATTGGACGAGATGAAAACTAATTTTCTTAGCTGCTGAGACGTTTCTGGGATAAAAAGTATTGATCCACCAGCAACAGCTGGACAACTTTTTTTAAAAGCTGATTCCCAGGTTGCGTGTCTCTCCACTCAATCCGAACACATAGACAACATATGCCGTCGCTTTAATCTATTCAGTAGTGTCAACATTTTACTACAACATTTACTCCAGTTATACTTTTTGTTTCCTCATGTGTTTTTTTTTTTTTTATCCCCCGGGGTTTGAAACGTCTGATGATTGTGGAAATAACCCCCGAACAGCTGTGAGCGTTGTTAAACGGCATCGCCGCGCTTCCATTTGGCAGAGAAAAAGATGTTGAGCTCCGTGATGGAACACAACGCGCGAGAGGCACAAACTGGGACGAGCGCGCCGCGCGGGCGGCACACAGGCCTTTTTGTGTGTTTGGGGGCCTTGTTACGCTGCTAATTGTGCTAATCGTCGCAGAACAACGACCTGTGCAACAGCTGGCCGGAGAGAAAAAATGTCCGCCTGTATCCACGAGCGGCCCGAGGGAGCCACAGGCGGCCGCACCTCCTGAGTGCCGGGCGTCTGGCGGACAGATTGTGATGGATGCCGTCTGGCTCGAGTGTCTCCGTCTCTTTTGTCCGTCCCCTGTCACACCTTAAGACGGATTGGCCGCACGGGTGTTTGACGGGCGGCTCGGCGGGCCTCCCGGTGGGCGGGAGTGACGGACGAGGGCCGAAACAGGATGCGTGGCGTCATCCCCGTCCTGCAGCCTCTCGTTTCGGGTTCCTGCCCACTGGGGCGACCACCTGTCCAATCACTCAGGGACGTCCCTGTCGCCGCCACGCGCTCCCCAGTGAGGGAAGTGGTGGCCAAAGAGGGACTACTATCGAGGAGGGCGACACAATGGAAGGCAGAGAGGAGTGATGGGGTAATGATATACTTACAAACTGTGCGGCAGAGGAAGTCCGTCCCAGAGGGAACGAAGGTCCGGCGTCCCCGAGGAGAGCAGGAAGAAGGAGACCGGGGGGGGGAACAAGAGCGTTAGACTTTGGAGCGAGAGCGGCTTTGGCGTTCGGTGAGATGTAGGATGTGTTCCGACCCGTCTTCACTTTTAAGGCAACTCCTCGCTTTCTAAGAGACCATCTGATCCCTTGAAACATTTTGGTCAGAGCAGGAAAGGCTTAAAGTCGTCCCAGGATGAAGAGTAATCCCTTCGCTCCTGGGCAAACATGCGATTCGAAACCCGGCATTTGGAACACGACTTCTGTTCTGGCAAGGGGAGGACATGACCAAATGCAGGTCCAATTTATTGGAAAGGTTCTAGGTGTGTTGGTGTGCGTTATCTGTGGAAAGGCGTCCGACGCTGCAGAACAGGGAAAGGCCGAGTGCTGAAGGGAACATCAAAGAGGCCTGAGGGGGACTTAGCACCTTCCCAGGGACACAAACAGCATTGTTCTACAATTAATCCCAGCCTGCTCTATTACTTTCAGATTATCTTTAAGTGGGTGAAGTCTTTGTGGGGCATTAAGACTCTCCTTAATCCCGCCCTCCCTCCCCACACACACACACACACACATCTCCCTACACTTCAATGGCGGCCGCGCTATCTTGTCCGGGTGTGGATGGCGGAGGCTTAGGGCTACTCTTAGAAGGTGGTCTGCCGTGGTCACAGGACAGTGTGAGAACTGTGACACAAGGGGAGGGACAACAAACATGAGCTCAAATCTCTTAAGCGCACAGGGAGACAAATAAAAGGATTTGGGTTGTCAGGGGGGCACAGGAGCTAAAAGCTATCTTTCATAATCCTTTTGATAGTGGACCTTTGAAATGCGTGATCTGGATGTTTTAACACAGGGTTCTCAGAATAGTATTAGGGGGGGAAAAAAGTCTCGGCGGAATGAGCTTGTGAAAGTTACGCAAGCGAAAAATCGGCCAGCAGGTCCGAGAGCGAGCGAGATCAAAGATGAACGGCCGAGAAGCGCAAGAGACAACGGTGATAATAGTGTCAGTTTGAATGCAGGCGAACGTCCAACGTTCCAACAGGGTTACAGAGAGCGTTCAGAGGTATGACAATAACAACCCTGTACTGCTGTGATGCTGCTGCTCTTCCTCTTCTCCTTTTACAAATTATTATTATTGCACTGTCTCTTCTTGAAGGTTATTCTTTTGTTTTAGTTTAGTTTATTTTATTTAATAATTTAATATTTTGTATCTTATAATGTGTATCTTTTAATTCTATTTTCTTCCCTGTACATGCTGCTGTGGCACCAAAATTAAAAAAATAGAGGGAGAGGGATCAATAAAGTATCTATCTATCTATCTAATACTCTAGGATGAAACTTACCCCCTGGGAAGGACGGTCGGAGTCGGTGTCGAGAGTCAAAATGAAAAAAAAGAAGCTTTTAGCCAGACAGCAATCATGTGATAACAGAACTAGTTGTTAATGACTACTTCTACAACACAACATGCAACGTGTCACATAGGTGCCATAACAAATACTCACTGAGGTAAAGTCCTGGTTCGCCCGCGACCAACAAAAAGAACACAAAAGCCTGAGTTAGTGAAACCTGGATGAAACAGTTTTTATGGAAAATCAGTGTACTTCGAGGTTTGTTCACTTTGTGGTCGCCTGTCATTTAAAGGATTATTATTCACACGTCTTTAGACTGATGGCTGGAGATCTGGGAACAAACCGACGACACTCTAACAAAGTCCAACAGCGTAAGAAACGATTGAACCAAAGGAACCTAAAGAGGAGCTCAGCGGTCCGTGTTGCACATTCCTGTTTGTGTGAAGGACATTCATTTTCACACATTCAGAAACAGACTCAACATCATGTTGCTCTTTGCACTTTGTAGAAAAAGCTCCTCCCTCCCAATGAGTCTGACAGTTATTTATTTCAACTTTAGACCATCACGACTACTTTTGAATAACTTTTTATTTCCCTCGTTTTCCCATTTGTCATCTCATTCATTGTATAGACTCCGTTGCTTCTTAAACGGCGGATTATCTGTATGAGTTTCTTTTTACTTTTACTCACCGGGATGGATGCTCTCCAGGGGCCACTACAACCCGAGTGCGGGGGCCACGATATGGCATTGGATAAACTAAGGTAGGAATGATTTACTAAAAAGGGACGCTTGTAACAGCAAGTCAATGCTTTGATCACAACAAAATAATATAAATTGTTGTGCTAATTAAGAAGCTTTAAAAGCATTTTTCCCTTTGCTGGACAGTTGGTCTGTTTTTTTACGCTGATTACCTTCTTAAAACCGAAAGTCAAGAAGATTCATTTAACTACAATGGATGCGCCTCTCTGCTTACACTGTAACCATCATTCAGTTCGTCCTCGTTGTTTCCTTCTAGTTGTGTTTGTCTCAGTTGTGTTTGTCTGTGATAGCGGACAACGGATTTCCGCACACAGATGTAATTATTACAAATGGCCCAAAATATAAGGAGGAAAAAAAGATGCTCTTGTTCGTTTGGGGGGGGGGTTACCTTCTTGTTTGCCAGCGACGGGTCTTGTCTGAGCAGGTGAGAGAGGTCAGGGACCCGAGCACCTGCAGCGGAGTATATCCACTCCTTCTCTATAGGATCCAGCTGTCACAGGGAGGGGAGGGAGAGTTTAGACACACACACACACACACATACACACACACACACACACACGCGCATGCACACCCTACTGTCCACATCCTGTTGTGGCCTCTATTCATAGTGCTGAAGCTACAAACCTCTAATCCATTTCCTACAAATGAATGAGTCACAGCCAACGGACACATTTGGGAGACACCCATGATCACACTGCACAGTTCAGCACTTTGTGCTTCCACTTCCGTCATTGGTTGAAAGGGAACACGCAGGGACACTCTAACTGCTCTAACCCCCTGGAATAATAATTTTTTTTAAACATATGGAGAGGAAGGAAAAGAACTCACGGCGACAGCAGCGGAGCCCATGCTGCCCGTACACTCCTCGTCCTGCTCAGACTCGGACTGAAAGAGACAAACACGGGACCGTCACTCGATGGGGACAGAATAGAACTGGGCTGGATGAGTCGAAGTGGTCACACGGCGAGGTCCGGCATCACACGGCACACACACACACACACACACATTGATTTTCACGCTTCGGTCACACTGCTGTGATGTTTCCCAGCTGACGGGACGTGAGCGAAGGGCGTCAGACAGACGGACAGAGAGGTAATGAGGCAGCGAGACAAAGGTGGCGCTTTCACACATCGGGGGTAATGAATAACAATCCAATTAACAATCAACCCCAAAAAACAACACGCCTACAGTCACAGGCCATGTGTTTCTGTCACTGGTTCAGTCTCGTTGGGTCAAGAGGGGGAAAAAACGAACACAGCCGTCTCGCAGTATATGCAAGTGTCACTTGCTGATTTATGCGAGATGAGAGTTGTGGGGTTTTTTTCTTCTTTCTTTTCTCTTTGACCCGATTCCTAATTGTTCTCAGATCACAGAGACCCGATGTTAAAACACTCGGCCCTTTGAAGCACAACCTGCCACACGTCAGCGCACTGAACATGAAAAGTGGAGGGCTTGTATTTTTCCAGCCTATTCCACTCTGACGTGTGCGTTTCTTTGCTGACTTTTAGTTGAGAAGGTTTATAACTATTGAAAACGTTGTTGGGCTTGAAGGAGGATAACGAGACCTGAAATACCTTTTCCATAAATAGAAGTTCTGTAACGGTCCAAAGCTGATATTTCATTTATAGTAACATAAAATGCTTAAAATATAAATGAAACCATTAATGAATTACCCCTAATCGACTGAGCGCTGCGTTCCTGCTCGTTTTGGTTTGGACGTTTTGTAGCCTGGAGAACAAATGACTCATTGGAAAAAAGTTTTCAAACTGCAAGGGTGCATCGGGGGATTCCCACCACACTGCGCGTAATCAGATCAAGTTAATGTGATATGATTAAACAAGCTCTGTGGGTCTGTGCTGGGCTAAACATCTGCATGCTAACAATACAGATGTTTAGCAGGCCATGTTAGTTTGAGTGTGTAAGCATCGTTTCACTATAGATATCAACAGAGTTAAAACAATTTTGTTTAAAAGTTAAGGAATGTGCGTGTAAAATCCATTAAACAACCCTCAAAACACTTTGCTCATAAACTTGAACGTCAAGCTGCCTGGGTTCTTCCTCTGGGGATCAGCGGCGGACCACCGACTGTCCCACATTACAGTCCTCAAAGTGATAATAACCCAAAATGAATTCATCCCAAATGCTAATCTCTCGCGGGCTGAAAGGAGCGTTTTGTCCGTCCTTCCCCAGCAGGGAACTGCAGCCGTAGCTTAAATTCATGTCAGTTACATTGGATCGCCACGGTAACCGGCCAAACAGCCATGGGATCTAACGTGTGTTCTTTTCAGTCTGCCTTTATTCCAACCGTGTTTTAAAAATGCACAAACAGCTAAATATCTTATTTTCTCTTCTACACGAATGCATAAAATAATCACTGTGATAAGGAGACCTTAAAATGACCTGTTTCAGTCCAAACACCTGCTGTTCTGTTCTCTTTCTGCAGGACAAACTACATTATGAAATTGAGACAAAACTTTCTCAAAAATCTTTGGTATTGAAATTTACTTTTTATGTGCAAATACTTTCTTTCTTTCTTTCTTTCATTCTTTCTTTCCTTCTAATTTGAATCTGTTGTAATTCAAAATGACCAAAGCTGCTCTTGTCTTTGACCAAAATCCAAACTAACACAAGGACAGGGACGATGCTCTTCTCCCGATTAAAACAAAACTTTAAAGAGACCAGAGTTAATCCACCGCAGGGCGTCATCCTGCAGTTGAAAGCAGGATATTATAAATGAGAGCAAAGCTCGCAGCCTCAGGTGTTGTGATTAAGAACAGTGTGTGTGAGTGAAACCAGCCAGGTAGCTTCTCAACGGTGGAACAACTGTCAACACATCGGGTGTCCTAAATACAGAGTTCACTGGTGTGACTAATGCCTTCAGCAAACACACTTAATCTGATTGCTGCTGCTGTATTAACACACTTCAACATATTTCATCTGTCGAGTGTGCAGGACATCAAGGAGGGCCACATATCTGTCACTGGGAGGAATCTCAATCTCTTTAATGGGCACACATGATTATTATCTTTCTAATGAGTTGCAACATGTTGCTGCTTAACATAATAACAGAGAGCTTAATTTAAATGCAGATTCTCCCCCAACGGGTCCTCCTCCCACTCAAATTCAACACATACTGCAGTAGGAAATCCAGGAAACGCACTCAGCACCACCTGGTGGGCAACACGGGGACCACTAGAGTGACCTAGAAGTCAGGTTTCACCTCAGGGAACCTATCAGATGATAAACTGTACTGAATTAATGCAAGTTTAGAGTCAAACGCGAGAAAGTAACATGATAAAACGTCATCTATGTTTTTAGAATGAGGATATTGTAAATGTAAAAAACGAGTGTACTTTTGGCTGTACTACAAAGTCATTACTTCCAGTCGCATAGAGGTTTGAATGAAAATGAAAAAATGAACATTGTGTTAATGGTAAAGTGTGTGGCTTCAGTAACGACCTGGCATCTGATGCCTACATTTCAAAGAATAAGCGCTGATAACATATTGGTGCAGGTATTTTCACGGGCAAGTAGCGCTGCCTCTCAGACAGGCCGAATTGTCACCTTTGACCCTGAATCTTTGTCCAGCTCATCGTCCCCGTAGTTTTGCGCCGAGGGATCCTGGGCCGGGACGACGGGAAGTTGCGATGGATCTGGCTGCGTGAAGCGTGTTCCCGTCTGCTGGTGCTGCGGGGGCACAGACATTTGAGCAAGTCGTGTGCAAGACCCTTCAAATCTACGATTAAATCTATTGCAGAAACAATATGTGAAAGTACGTCCATAGGATTTTTGTGCATTAATAAACCGGCACGTTGTGTTTATTTAACACTATTTATGGAAGGACATAAGCCCTTTGACCTTCCCTTTTGTCCTCATAGCGGCTGAATTGGCTTTAGTAAAAGACAATCTTTCTGGTTCACAGTAGTTCTGTGTGTAAACGTTAAATACTGACACATAGTAAAGAGAAACAGCAGTGGAGCCTCACAAAGGCGGCCTTGTTTGGAAATAAATGCGTGATTCACATAGAGTAAACACTGCGTGCTGGTGCGATAACGGACGCAGCGATCTGAATTAGATTTCACCTCTGCAGCCCCGTCGGGATCTCCACATGGCATCGGCTGGCACGGCTCCTCCCGGTGAGGGGGAGGAGCGGATGGGTCCGCCGCGTCCCACGCCACAGAGGCCGCAGCTCTGCCCGGGCTCGTCCACTGATGTTTGGGGTCCTGCTCATGCAGAATCTGCCTGTATTTCTTCTTTAGGACAAGATATTTCTCCCCCTGCGACAAACAGAGTGAATAAGCACAATATGCCTTTTGAAAATTAGGGTTACAAAAGGTTAGTTTGGAGAATGAGAATGATGATTTTTGTAATAAAAGGGAAAGAACAGATGTGATTTTAAACGTTTCTCAGTGTGTATTAGATGTTTTTTTTGCGTGGGAATAACACAAACATTTCTAATGCTGTTTTAAATCCAATTATTCAGGAAAAGTCTGGTTATTTACTCCGAACATAAAATGTTCACAAACTTCATTTGGATGAATATGTGTAAATGCGTCATAATACAGTTTCGCGGAAGATAAAAGCTGCAGCTGCAGTCCCTCGGGGGAAAGCAGCGGGTAAAAACGGATCCGTAAAGAATCGAAACAAAGATTTGGCGGACTTCTTGTTAAGTGATTAAAGTGAAGCTGGAACAACAACCTTTAATAGCACTGATGCATTCGACCAGTCAATGCTGCAGTGTTGACTTATCATTACATTCCCTCAAAAGGCCCCAATATCATAATGGTCTACTCACATTCTCTGACTTCACCACTGCGATTCGGTCAATGATGAGCTTGAATTCCTCTCTGTATTTAGCTGCAGGGGGAAAACGTTTGTTGAGAGAAGCTGAGAACTAAAACGAGCTTCTGATTTCTGGCATTCAGCAAAACACAAAACTGCTCATTTTGTAAGAAAACGATTGTTACAAACGGGGCGTAGCTGCCACAGGAACAGAAAGGAGAGGCTACAATGTGGCCGCAGTCTGCAGGTGTGAGTCGCCGATTTGTGTGATTTTGTAACGAGACCCGGCTGGATGCGGTTCACGGGGGGGGGGGGACGCAAAAGAAACAGTTGCTTCAAACACTGCAAGCCGAGAGGAGAGCTATTCCCCCTCCGGCAAAGATCCCAACAGATCACAGAGCATCCCCAGGGGCGAGAGCCCTGAACCCCTCCAGACCTCCAGCGAAGTAAACAAACTGGAGCCCGCGAGCTGATAGCCATCATCAGACAGAGCCGCGCTCCCTTTGTTTGACGCTGTGATTAGGAGCCGACTCTGCTGATTATCACACAGCGAGGAATGTGTCTCCGGCCGCAGGTATTCCCTCCATGCGTAGGTGTTACATGGCCATGCGGCTCAGGGACAATCGAAGGGTTTCCTTTTCCCGATGTGGACGGAAAGAACGTTTGTAAAGTGGGACAGACGCGCCGCTCACACGCCGCAGCAGCAACAACAGGAAAGACAAAGGAAGCCGCCGCTCAACAAAAAGATTTCCTTTGCTCAAGTGAGTG